TAATGCTAATTTTGGTGTAATCTTGATCTCTATTTTTATTATTGCTCTTATTTCTTTGAATATGCTTTCCCATTTTTTTTGGTACAATTTTACATGGCCACCACATATGAAAGTATGTCCCTATTTCCTGACAACCTCTCCAACACTGATTTGAGTATTTTTTTTATATAAATTTGATTTAATCTAATGGGACTTATAACAGCTTGTTTGAAGTAGGCTGGATTTTTTCCTTCCCGAAGGGAGGCCTTAACCACCACCTTGACCCACTTTGCCAAACCCCCTCTGGCCCCCTTTATCAACCAGGATGGGTAGGGGTCCAGGATGCATGTGGACGCCCTCTCCTCTCCAAGGTGTCCACATCCTTGAAATGGGAGGCAGTGCCTTCCATTTGAAGCAAAAGCGCCAGCCATTTTCTCTTACCTATAACGCTGCAGAGAAGCCGGAGGCTGGTGGTATCCCCTTCTCCGCTGTCCCGGGGGTTCTCCCTCCAGGAGGGGGGCAGAGGGACACGCAGCCCGATGGGGCGGTGGAACTTCCTGCGGCGTGGCTCCACCGTCACAATGGGGCTGAACGTCGCCTGGTTCCCCAGAAGCTTCGTCACCAGCTCATCCGGCACCGGCTGCGCCTACAGGAATGACGGCAAAAGGGTCGGAGAGGGCTCCTCTTGGGAGACCTCTGCCAGGCTCAGAAATATGATACGTTTCACCAAAACAGAGTTTCTGGAGTAAAGCAACTACTTTCAAAGTAAGTACTGCACAATTAAACAGGAAATAACACCTTCAAACCAGGAACAGAATTTTTTACGCAGTGTAATCCATGCGATATCCAAACAGTCCTTGCTCTCTCCATACAGGATTCTCCCACCTTCCCCATTAGCAAGAAACTACTATCCTGGTACCTGCAAAGCCAGCTTGACTTTTTTGGTGACGGCTGTTTCCGGGAACGTGGCCTGGACCAAGGGCACCAATGTGCTCTGCAGAGAGCCGCCTTCTGGACCAATCAGCTCACAGTCCTGGGACACGCGAGACATGACCACGAAGTAGAGGGGGAAGTCCGTGGTGATGATGCGGCAAATCCTCTTCTTTTCGAGTTCCTCAAGGCTCTCCAGCTCTGGAGAAAAGTGGCAGCATCAGAGAGTGGGAAAGTGTCCAAGCCAGGAATGGGGAGACCCAGGCTCAGGGGCCACATGCGGCCCCTTGGACTCTTTCCTCAGGCCCTCCTCTCTCTCACCATCTTATCCTTCCTTCTCTCCTTTCCTCCTTCCCTCCCTTCCCTCCCTCTTTCTCCCTTTCATTCCCTTCCACACTTTCATCTGTCCTACCTTCTCCCTTCCCTTCCTCCTTCCCTTCCATCCTTTCCTCCTTCCTTCCCTTTTGTCTTTCTTTCCTTCCCTCTTTCCTCCCTCCTTCCCTCTCCCTCTTTCTCCTTCCTTCCTTCCTTCCTTCCTTCCTTCCTTCCTTCCTTCCTTCCTTTCTTCCTTCCCTCTTGTCCCCCGTCCCCTTCACTCCCTCAATCTTAATCTTTTCTTCTTGGGCTTGGGGTCTATAAATTAACCAACTTCACATGTTTATCTGTCTCCCTCTTTCTCCTTCCTTCCTCCCTCCTCCCTCCCTTCCCCCTTCTCCTCCCTTTTTCTTCCTTCCCTCCCCTTCTTTCGTCACTCCTTCCCTGTCTCCCTTTCTCCTTCCTTCCTTCCTTCCTTCCTTCCTTCCTTCCTTCCTTCCTTCCTTCCTTCCCTTTTTCTTCCTCCTTCCCTTCCTTCCATCTTTTTGTCTTTCCTTCTCTTTTATTTTTCCTTCTTTCTCTTTCCTTCCTCCTTCCCTCTTTCTCCTCCCTCCTTCCCTTTTCCTTTTCCTTCCTTCTTCCTTCCTTTCCTTCCTTCACTACTTCCTTCCTTCTCTTCTTCCTTCCTTCTTCTTCCTTCTTCCTTCCCTTTTTCCTTCCTTCCTTTTCTCTTCTCCTTCCTTCTTCCTTTCTCCTTCCTTCTTCCCTTCTTCCCTTCCCTTTTCTTCCCTTCCTCCCTTTTCTCTCCTCCCCCCCCTCTTGTATCCTTACATCTGCCTGCTTTTCTTTTGTCACTGTCTTCTTCCTCCTCCCTTATTCCCTTCATTCTCCACCCTCACTTTGTGCTTTCCTTCTCCCCTCTTTCTGCATCCTTCCTGTACTCCATCTTTCTCCTCTTCTCTGTTTACCTTCCCGCCTTCTCTTCCCTCCATTCCTTTGTACTTCAATTCTCTTTTTTTATTTAATTATGTTTCCTTTCCTTCCTTATTCCTTCCTCCCTCTTTCTTCTTCCTTCACTTCCTTCCTTCCTTCTTCCTTCCTTCCTTTCCTTCTTCTCCTTCTTCTTTCCTCCTTCTTCCTTCCTTCTTTTTGTCTTCCTTCTTTCTTTCCTTACTTCCTTCCCTCCTTCTCCCTCTCTCTCTTCCCTCTTTCTTCTTCTATCCTTCCCTTCCTCCCCTTTGTCTTTCCTTCCTTCTGTCTTTCTTTACTGCTTCCCTTCCTTCCAGTTCTCTAACAGGGAATGTTATTAGTACGTGGCTCTCAAGTTGGAAAGTTTGCCTCTGCCTGGTCTAAGCCATGAAAGCAGGAATGCCTTGCCCTCAAGAAATACATCAACACAACCATGCAATCAACCCCCCACTTATGCTAGAGCTGGAAACACCTTATCCCCCCCCCCCCAAAGGTGCAAAATGCCCTCCCCGTGCATACCTTCATCCATCCCGTTGAGGACCTGGTCCAGGTAGCTCTCTCCATAGCGGCTGCGGTGCTCCTTCCACACAGAGCCATTCTCGCTGCGAAGGATGACCAGCTCCCGGTCCCCGCGCCCGTGCGAGGCAAAGTGAGGGATTTCCACAATTACAGGGCTGGAGGAGAATCAAAAAGTATTAATGACAGATATGAGTTCCACTATTAGAGGGGAATCTACCCATGTTATCAGGGAAGATGTTGGCCGCAAGCCACTCCAGTGCGGATACCAGCCTTTACCTGAGGAACTGTGCTCCGGCCGGGCCGAGTGCGATAATCCTGCTGGCCAGTCCTTCCTCCTCAGCCAAAGGGGGCGGCGCCGGAAGTTTCTGGGGCTTGACCAGGCGGCAGGTGATGCGCGTGGGCGCTGCGCATGTCCGGGGTGGGATGATGACCCGGAGGCCGTTGTGCCTGCTGCCCCGCATTGATCCCCCGCGAGCATCCACCATGAAACTTACAAGGAACCTGCCAGAGGAGCGGAGAGAATGGTAAGCCTTAATGATCAAAGCGTGGATAACAAAGGCTTCCAAGAGTTTCAAGCTCACAACCAGAGAACTTCCTCAGAATCCTACTAATGTGAGGAAATCACCTACCCTGTGTGGACGGGGCTGGCCACTGGACTGATGTTGTCGGAGGTCTCTGTCGCAGGGCTGCTTGGGATGAGGGACTCTTCGTCAAATTCCTTGGAAGGCTAAACAGAAGATGGAGCCACATCTCTCATGAAAAACCTATACAACACCAATCCTTGGAGAAAGACAGTGTTGCACACCAAGGCTGAACCCACGAACACTCCAAAGTTCTTTAGCAAATAAACAGTTTATTGAATAAATGCAAGCAGTATTAAAAAGGGTGAAAATGGCAAGTAAAAGATTATGTAAGAAAGTCTAAAAACAATCCAAACCGACTGATAGGTAAATATAATCCATAAAGGAAACAGAGACGTTTCTTAAATCCACAGTAAAATCCACAAATGCATAGTCCTTAAAACCCACAGAGGAAAATGTCCAAAGTCTCTTGAAAAACAAGGTTGCACAGATCCAAAATCCACAGAAGAATTACACAGGAAAACATTCACCAACAGCAACTTGAACATGAGTCTTGAGCAGAGAGTTCCATGAATCTTGACATGACATACATACAAGACTTGACCAGTAACCGATGTTGCGCTCACTGAAGGCAATGCTGTGAAAGCCCTATATTTATTCAAAAAGACCTACACAAAATGCATTCCGATTCCCTTGAGAACTCTCCTTCAAATTCCTCTTTTCCCTTATCCTGACAGACCTTCGGACTCCCCCTTGCAAGTGGTGAACTTGACAGATTTGACCCCTTCTATCAAAGGTTGATTCCTCCCAGTTGCTCGTTAACACATTCCTTTCACTTTCCTTATCTAGCAACCCAAGCTGGTTCCCATCAGACTGTCTGGAAACCATTCTATCATGAGAACTAACAATCCCAGAGTCTTCCAACTCCCTTTGCACTGCACTTTGTTCTGTGCCCTCTTGTTCATTCACAATCCCCTGAGAATCTACATTAAAATAGTCAGGTTTCTGCCCTGGCCATGGGACGGAGACAGTCCTGGTTGCCATTACAGATTAACTTGGTTGCCAGTTTGATAACGGCGGATCAGCGCTACTGGTACTTCTCGACCTTACCGCAGCGTTTGACACTGTTGACTACGATCTAATGATTCACCGTCTTGCCATGTCCAGAGTTTGCGGTCAGGCCCTCAATTGGTTCAACTCATTCCTCCGAAACCGGAGCCAATGCGTGGAGTATATGGATCAAGTCTCTGAAAGATCTCCTATGTGGGGTACCCCAAGGTGCAATTCTCTCCCCTCTTCTCTTCAACATCTGTGTTAGACCCCTTGCTAGTTTGGTTCAGAGTTTCGGCCTAGATTGCTATCAATATGCATATAAATATAAATATTTATAAATATAAATATAAATATGCGACACCCAACTCCTTCTGCGTTTGGAGCCTGGAGCAATGTCAATACCAGACAATTTCACCTTATGTCTGGAGGCTCTGTCGAACTGGCTACGTGCTAGTAGACTGAAGGTGAACCTGGCAAAGACTGAGATTCTCTGGCATGGCTGCTCGATTGGTCTGACCCATTTGCTACCCACCTTCGATGGTGCTGCCCTATCTCCTTCGCCTACCATTAAGAGCTTGGGTGTCGTTTTGGATTCGCAGCTGACGATGGAAGCTCAGGTCGCTGCTGCCAGCAAACAGGCCTTTTCCCATCTACAACAAGCGAGGCAACTGGCACCCTACCTATCTCTCCTTCTCCCATCATCGGAGGTCACAATGACCATCCCAACGTGACTTACTTTATATACCGGGTCCTAGAGAGGTCCACTTGGAAAGGACCAGACGCAGAGCTTTCTCTATTTCTGCCCCTGCCTTGTGGAATTCCTTGCCACCCTACATGAGAGCCATGTGTGAGTTAGGGCCTTTTACTCTCGCACTTAAGACCTGGCTTTTTACTGGAGCTTTTGATCTATGTTAATTTTATCAATATCTGTATGTATGTATTTTTATCCTTGACAATTCAGCTTGTAAATCGCCTAGAGCATCTTGGATGGAGGGCGATTAATAAGTAATCAAATGATGATGATGATGAAAATCCAACATGGAAATCTCTGAAGGGTCCTGCTCTGAAGGAGATTGAACATAACCATAATCTTCATCTTGAGGCACAGCAACAACCCCAATCGGCTGAGCTCCTACAGACAGGTCTCTTCCCCACCAATCTCCACACATACAGATACAAAAAATGTTATTTCCCAAGTATGATAAGAGAACAAGTCTGGTGCCAGGCAGACTTTTCTGGGAAAGGAACTTCAGATACGATGAGCTGTAAACGTCCCGAATTGAGGTCACTACTAGCCTGGAATCTGAAGGTGGGGGGATTCAGAGGATGAAACTGGTCAAGAAATGAAGGGGTTAAAATTTGGCTAAGCCCAGTGCCCACCTGCTCTGGCTCCTCAGGCCGGATCAGTACCGTCTCCGGCGTGACGCAAGGGATCCGTGGGATCGCTGGTGACTCTTCCCTCCTGAAAAGGCAAAGTGCAAAGAATGGCGAGAAGGAAATACTATGATGTTACAGCATTCCGCGCAAATCCTGTGGACTCGGCACTGTGCCCTGCATAATGGGAATGGTCTCTTTTGGAAAGAAGGCTTCTGCGATGCTGAATACAGATCACTTTCTAAAATATGTGCATGAGAACCTGCAGCCTTAAAAACACGACTAAAAACACGACTAAGCTGAAAAGTTCCGAAATGTGTATATTCCAAAATATTCCAAATATTCCAAAAGCCAATTTGTTTATTCCAAAATATTCCAAAATCCAATGTGTTTATTCCAAAATATTCCAAAATCAAAAGGCAAAAAACCCCTCTTTGAGAACCTTCCTCTTGTAAAGAGACGGCTACCAGGTCGTAAAGGAGCGCCACCAATTCGTAAAGAAAACACTTAGGTTTAGGAGAGAGGAGCCACTGATTTGTAAAAGGCTCTGGTATTAATACCACTAGATGCCACCCTGTTTGTGTTGTGAGGTAATTTTGGGAGATTGGGTACACCGAACGTAGAATTAATGGAGATGAGGCAGTTTTAAAAACCAAAGAGAACAAGTTTATTTTGAAACAAAGCGTATGGTTGCAGTTTGATGTTAAGCTTGGCAAATACTTGAAGGTTACATGTAACTTGGTTGCGATACAGTTCAGACTTTCGATGTTACAACTTATAAACTCTTGCTGTGGTGAAGCACTTTATTAACCAGTGTTCCCTGAAGTGAATAGTCTCCCTGTTTGATCTGTCCTTGATCAAACTACTGATCTCTAGTCTTCTCCCGACTAGCGATCTTAACAAGCCTCTGTTAGTTCTTTCTAACTAAAGAAACTAATAAGGTTTTCCCCTTCAGCTTCCTAACTGAAGAAATCTCTAACTATTCACGAACACTGTTTCTTTACTTCCCACTTTCTCTCTACATGACTGTTCACTCCTCCTAACCTAACTCTGCTCTTCTCTGAGCCTCCAGCCTGACTCTTCTCTTCTTTGAGCCTAAAACCTGACTCTTCTCTTCTTTGAGCCTAAAACCTGACTCTTCTCATCTCTGAGTCTAAAACCTGACTCTTCTCTTCTTTGAGCCTAAAACCCTGACTGACTTTAACTGTCGCTTTTCAAAACCTCTACTCTCTAAGCTCCTCCCACTCCTCTTCAGCATCGTTTCCATGGTAACACACTCCTCACAGCTAGGCCGCTCCAGCCTTAGGGCAACCAATGCAAACACAAATACAGTTATAAGCATATTATTATAATCACTTCTGTACACTCTGATCCTTTTTCAATCAATCCTTTAAAGCTATTTTTCCTTTTGCTCACCGCGCACGTGTCAGGGCCCATAACCCTGTGTTGGGGAATCAGAGCTGTTAGGAGCTTTTTTGTTGAGTTCCAGGGCCAGAGAAGTAGATGGTGGAAACAGAAGAACGGCTTGCCTGCTTGCTCCATCCATATTCAACATCTACACAAATGACCAGCCACTGCCAGAAGGGACAGAGAGTTTCATCTATGCTGATGATCGTGCCATTACTGCTCAAGCAGGGAGCTTTGAGATGGTTGAACAGAAGCTCTCCGAAGCTCTAGGTGCTCTTACTGCCTATTACAGGGAAAACCAGTTGATCCCTAATCCATCTAAAACACAGACATGTGCCTTTCACCTTAAGAACAGACAAGCATCCCGAGCTCTGAGGATGATTACCTGGGAAGGAATCCCACTGGAGCATTGCAGCGCACCCAAATACCTGGGAGTCACTCTGGACTGTTCTCTGACCTACAAGAAGCATTGCCTGAACATCAAGCAAAAAGTGGGTGCTAGAAACAATATCATACGAAAGCTGACTGGCACAACCTGGGGATCACAACCAGACACAGTGAAGACATCTGCCCTTGCGCTATGCTACTCTGCTGCTGAGTATGCATGCCCAGTGTGGAACACATCTCACCACGCTAAAACAGTGGATGTGGCTCTTAATGAGACATGTCGCATTTTCACGGGGTGTCTATGCCCTACACCACTGGAGAAATTACACTGCTTAGCCAGTATTGCACCACCTGACATCCGCCGGGAAGTAGCAGCCAATAGTGAAAGGACCAAGGCAGAGACATCTCCAGCTCATCCCCTGTTTGGGTATCAGCCAGCACGTCAACGACTTAAATCTAGAAATAGTTTTCTAAGATCTACAGAGACACTCGCTGGAACACCTCAGCAAACGAGAGTCCAAAAGTGGCAGGCTCAAACCCAGAACCTCAACCAATGGCTGATACCAAATGAGAGACTCCCCCCTGGGCACACAGAAGACTGGGCAACTTGGAAGGCGCTGAACAGACTGCGCTCTGGCACCACGAGATGCAGAGCCAACCTCAAGAAATGGGGCCACAAAGTGGAATCCTCGACATGCGAGTGTGGAGAAGAGCCAACCACAGACCACCTGCTGCAATGCACCCTGAGCCCTGCCACATGCACAATGGAGGACCTCCTTGCGGCAACCCCAGAGGCACTCCAAGGGGCCAGATACTGGTCAAAGGACATTTAATCAACTACCAAACTCGCAAATTTTGTATTTTGTCTGTTTGTTTGTTTTGTTCTGTTAGAAATGTAATACAATTGACTGGATGCCCTGACACAACAAATAAAAAGCGGTTAGGCTCCAAAATAACCCTCATTTGGGGTGATTCCACCTTAAATATAGAAGGGTACCTGAAACAAACTTCATAACCAGCAGAAACTTACGTGTGGCGAACTAGGATAAACTTTCTACCCATAGGATGGCACAGGATTGCAGAGTCAGACCTTTAGGTTCAAAACTATTTATTGAAGTAGAAGGAATACATTCTAGATAGAAAAGGTCTTGAAGCTCGCTAGCTTACTAAATCTCATCTTCTAAAGAGGTAAAAGGGCAAAAAGTAAAAAAAAAATCCATGCAGCTACATTTTGCCTAGAGAGAGGCAAAATGCGTCCTCACTGGAAGAGACAAAGGCGAATGGCCACAAAGTCCAGGGCACTAAAAATACCTTGACAAAAAGAAGTTACCTTATAGAGATTCCATTGCTACACCTTCAAAGGGGGAGAAGATAGTGGCAAGGAGGAGGAAGAGTAAAGTCAAAGTCCTTTTGGGGGAAATCATGCATAGGAATGTGCAGGGAGGAATCCTATCTCTAGTCTAGCTACTCACTGAGGTCTGGAAACTTGATGACACAAGAGACTTGTGCAGTCCAGGGAGGAAACCCAACACCATTAATTTCAGCCAAGTGTGTGCAGAACATCCCCGGCACTCTGCTCCTTATTAATTCATTCACTACGATGATAATAGCCATCAGATTTAGGGTCTCCAAATGTCCGGGGTTGACCTCAGATGCTCTGCAAAACCGACACAGATCCCTCCCGCTGCATTCACCGGGATTGTGGCGCAGCTGGCTGGTTGTCAGCTTCATTAAGATCACTCTGACCAAAAGGTCATGAGTTTGAAGCCAGCCCGGGTTGGAGTGGGTTTCCAACCAATTGTGTAGCCTGTCGACCTTTGCAACCCGAAAGACAGTTGCATCTGTCAAGTAGGAAAATTAGGTACCACCTTAAAAAGTGTGGGGAGGCTAAATTAACTGATTTATGAGGCCATAAAGAAGACTCCAGCAAAGCATTCCAGCGGGGAAGCATGCGGGGAATGCGGAAGTGCTTCATCAGCGTCGCAGATGGACGATGAAAGCGACAGCTCCCCTGGCGGCCAGAAAAAGTTAAATAGCCTCTGTGTATGTCTGTGTATGTTTGTATGTCAAAAATTGGCATTAAATGTTTGCCATATATGTGTTAGGCTTGGGTAACCACGGAAAAATTTGGTTCTAAACTCGTTTTGTTTTTAGGGGGCCCTTGCGTTTCGTTTTTTTAATAATTCCGAAATTTTCCTTTTAAAAATTTCGAAATATACGAAATTTCGTAAAATTACGAATCGATTCGTTAATGGCGGACGCGATTGCGCAATATGCTAAAAAAAACCCTCCAAATGGGACAGGAGGAACTTCTGAAGCTTCCCTCTCCCTCTGTTGTTGACTGTTGGTGTGATAAAACAAACAACAACTATAAAACTTGCACCAGACATGCCAAAATAATTACGAAATAATTACGAAATAATTACGAAATAAATTGAAAAAATTGTTTCGAATCTAATTTACTCCTCACACTATTCCTGCATGGCTCAATATTGGATCGTAAGCTAATTTAAATACGAATTAATAACGAATTACGGAATTAACGAACCGCCCAAGCCTAATATGTGTACACTGTGATCCGCCCTGAGTCCCCTGCGGGGTGCGGAGAAGGGCAGAATAGAAAAGCTGTAAATAAATAAAATAAATAAATAATATCTTACGCATGATCCAGTTTGGGGACGAACTCCACGATTTCCCTCTCGTCGTCCTGATACTGATACTCCCGCCTGTGGGACTTGGGCCCAGGCAAGTCCTCTCCTGAAAAGAGACCAGGGTTGAAAACCATAGGACGGCGGGGGGATTGGGCCCATGGCCAAGTGGAACAGACTGACATAAGCACCGTCTAAAGCAAAGCAGCTCAGCGTTTCTTGGCAAAGGGAGAGCGGAAGAACATTAACCCTCCGGCTGCCCCAAACCCCGGCCTGAAAAGGGGGTGAAGGGCCCCACTATCCACTACAAGGACAAAAACCAGTTTGGGGCCCAGTGCATATGGCGGTTGCTTTCCACTTGGCTGGATCCCTCATTTCTCCAGTGAGGTCTGAAGACTGCAAGAAACAAATGGGTAGCATCCACACAGTCCTAACCATGCCATGACTCCATCCTCCAAACATATCTATTCATAGCGTGGGATCTTTGCTGCACTATACGTCGCACAACTGCACTGCATTTGAACTTGTAAGTTACCCCGAGTGCCGGTTTTGCTGGGGAAAGAGGGCCACAAATAAAATTGTCAACAACAGTACAGGACGGCATGTGGTTTTACCCAACAATCTCCTCTCTAGGAATGTTCTAGGTCCATCAGGTAATTAGAGGCTACAATCCTGCCAGAAGTTACCGTGGACTCATGCTGGCCAAGATCTATCTCTGGGGATTTTCTAAGTTGTCCACTACTACTCTAAGGTACGAGGGTTGTCCAGAAAGTAAGGTTACAAGGCACGTGTGATACCAGGAAATAATCTGGCTTAGCTGCCCGGGCCTGTGCATACTTGATACAAGGGAAAGGGTTTCCACGGAAATGGGAGCAATGAAGAGGAACGGCCAGGGTGAGGGATAGGAGGCGTGAGGGAAAGAAACTGTCAGTTGGAATTTTGTTTTGTACCACACTGTATGCTTTTAGAAATTTTGCACAATTAAAACTTGTGCGCCAGCTGCGCCCGTACCTTGGGAAGTCGGATCTGGCCACGGTGGTCCACGCTCTTGTTACATCCCAATTAGATTACTGCAACGCACTCTACGTGGGGTTGCCTTTGAAGACTGTTCGGAAACTCCAACTAGTCCAGCGGGAGGCAGCCAGATTGCTCACCGGAGCGTCATACAGGGAGCATACCACCCCTGTTATGTCAGCTCCACTGGCTGCCGATCCAATTCCGAGCACAATTCAAAGTGCTGGTCTTGACCTACAAAACCCTATACGGTTCCGGCCCAGTGTATCTGTCCGAACGGATCTCCCTCTACGTCCCACCTCGGAGTCTAAGATCTTCTGGGGAGGCCCTGCTCTCGACCCCGCCTCTATCACAAGTGAGATTGGCGGGGACGAGGAGCAGGGCCTTCTCGGTGGTGGCCCCTCACCTGTGGAATTCACTCCTGGGGAAATTAGATCAGCGACATCCCTCCTTGCCTTTAGGAAAAAAATTGAAAACATGGATTTGGGACCAGGCATTCGGACAATCTGGCAGATGAAGAAAGGACCTTGACGATGGACAGGAATTGACTAAGTGGAATGGAATTATGGAACTCTGAAAGACGAACGCTGAGCATGAGATTAGTTTTATTGATTGTGTTAGATACCGACTATTTTAACTGTGATAAGTGTTTTTAACTGCTGTTTTGTACGTATGTGTATTTTATGCAGGCATCAAATTGTGCCTTTTTGTAAGCCGCCCTGAGTCCCCCCTCGGGGGTTGAGAAGGGTGGGGTAGAAGTACCCGAAATAAATAAATAAATAAATAAAGCCTTCCCACTCTGTTTGCGATTTCTTTGCCAGAAAGCCACAGATCCGGACACATAGGAAATTTTCTCAGGGGAAGTTGGCATAACTGCCGTGTAGCGGGAACCCAGCAGAAGCGAACGAGCAGTGCCAATCATCAGTAGCTCATTGACTGGCATTGTGGTGAAGGTTAGATGAGTGTCCTCATTCAGTTTCCCTCCAAGTGCGAAGTTCACACTGTAATACACTATCTAAATGCTAAGGGCATGAACGCAGCTGCGATTCATCGCAAAATCGTTTCAGTTTATGGAGAGGATGTAATGTTAAGACAGCATGTGACAAAATGGATACAGAATATATTGTGAGAAAATGAAGACACTTTGCAGAGACATCCAAAACTAATGTCGTTGGATGCTGACGGCGGGAGTCTGTCTCCTTTGTGACAATACGTGTCCGCAAACCGCTTGTGCAATGCAAGAGTTACTGACTTAATTGGATTGGGATGTTTGAAGCCACCCCTCTCACAGCCCTGATCTCGCACCCAGGGACTATCATCTGTTCACTTAAACTGAAGGAACACTTGGGTGGAAAACACTTTTCTGACGAGGTGAAAATCGAAGTGACAAACTGGCTGAAAAGAGCTGTAGGAAACTTCTATGACATAAGCATCAAAAACACATGGATGGGTGCTAGAAACAATATCATATGAAAGCTGACTGGCACAACCTGGGGATCACAACCAGGCACAATGAAGACATCTGCCCTTGCGCTATGCTACTCTGCTGCTGAGTATGCCCAGTGTGGAACACATCTCACCACACTAAAACAGTGGATGTGGCTCTTAATGAGACATGCCGCATTATCACGGGGTGTCTGCGCCCTACACCACGGGAATTACACTGTTTAGCCAGTATTGCACCACCTGACATCCGCCGGGAAGTAGCAGCCAATAGTGAAAGGACCAAGGCAGAGACATCTCCAGCTCATCCCCGTTCAGTATCAGCCAGCACGCCAACAACTTAAATCAAGAAATAGTTTTCTAAGATCTACAGAGACACTCGCTGGAACACCTCAGTAAGTGAGAGTCCAAAAGTGGCAGGCTCAAACCCAGAACCTCAACCAATGGCTGATACCAAATGAGAGACTCCCCCCTGGGCACACAGAAACTGGGCGACTTGGAAGGCGCTGAACAGACTGCGCTCTGGCACCACGAGATGCAGAGCCAACCTTCAAGAAATGGGGCCACAAAGTGGAATCCTCGACATGCGAGTGCAGAGAAGAGCAAACCACTGACCACCTGCTGCAATGCAACCTGAGCCCTGCCACATGCACAATGGAGGACCTTCTTGCAGCAACACCAGAAGCACTCCAAGGGGCCAGATACTGGTCAAAGGACATTTAATCAACTACCAAACTCACAAATTTTGTATTCTGTATTTTGTATTTTTGTATTTTGTCTGTTTGTTTTGTTCTGTTAGAAATGTAATATAATCGACTGGTTGCTGATGACTCGATAAATAAATAAATATGTGGAAAAATAATGCAAGCCCTATGCTACAATCCGTGTAAGTTTGATTAAAATCAATTCATTCTTTGTATTTGAAAAAAATAATCTTGTAACCTTACTTTCCGGATAACCTTCGTACATGCAACAATCCTGCCAGAAGTTACCGTGGACTCAAGCTGGCAAAGATCTATCTCTGGGGATTTTCTAAGTCGTCCACGTCAACTTTAAGGTAACTTCTGAGGAAGTTGTTCATTTGGCATTATCCACAGCCTTGCTTCCAATGATACACGCATGAGGTGGGGAAATTACATGGGTTTAGCCTCTGAAACATGTCACAGGCTGCATCTGCTCCCAAACCAGACGTATCCTGAAATCTGCATACGTTTTGTAAACTCATTCTAAGACAAGACGAGAACGCCGAAGGGTGTGCCCCCAGTTTGAAAGGAGAAGGGGTTCCTGGCGCCTGCCTGGCTAGCTACGTATCGTAATGTGTGTGTTCCCAATGACTTCAGAGACAGGTGGGGGTTGCTTACAGCCTGCCCACCTCTGGGGAACACACTATTTAAATATATAAATATATATGTTAACCTCCCATCAAACACATTTTGGGTTTAAAAATGTAAATGCTTACCAAGCCCTTCTGAACAGAGGCAAAGGTGGCTGAGCTGTTGTACCAGAGTAGCAACCCCTCTTTCAATGCACCTTGACCTCTCTGGAAAAAACATCCTCTGGTTCTTATATTGAAGAGTGCTATTGGTCAGGCCGGGGCTGGGGCAGGGGCTGTCCTTCCAAGCGGCGGGCATCCATCCATTCACTCATCCATCCATTCCCTCCCCATGAGGAGACTACAGAGTGTCCAGGGCAAAGGGAGGGACACACTACGAGGGGCGTCCATTAAAAGTTTCCCCTGACCCACTTCTATTTATCACAGGACGCTGAAACTGCCCATGTGTCATGATAGACGTCTCTATGGGTGACGTGCCAATTGACAACTCAGAACTGAGAACGGTCTTGATGTTACAGGTGATGAAGTGGAGTGAGGTTGGAGAACGGACCCAACAGAGTACAGAGCAGTCCTCAAGTTCCTTTCCTTGAAAGGCCGCACACTAAAGGAGACGTTTGATGAGATGAAAGAGGTTTCTGGTGAGGATTTCCCTTCATATGATGGAGTCAAGAACTGTATTGTCAGTCCCAATGTGGTTGGACTTTAGTGGAAACAGCTCCAATTACAGGGTGACCCCACTCCACTATTGATGATCACACCATCCAGGAAGTGGAGGTTGCCATTTTGCACGTAACTATTCGCCACCGAGCCAAAAATGTCAAGATGAGTGTTGGGTCGGTGGAAAAAAATCACCCAAGACCACCTTCCCATGCATAAGATCTTCACTCGTTGGGTCCTCTGGCTGCTCACACCTTTCCAAAAGCAGGAACAAGTCGAATGCTCTCAGGCTCTCTTGACAATGATGTGCCATGGAAACCAGGAGGACTTTTTCAACATATTGATCACACAGGGTGAAAGCTGGGTCCATCACTCTGATCCTGAGACTCAAGTCCAGTCGATGTAATGGAAGCATCATGACTCACCGCCTCCAAAGAAGGCATGTGCCCAACTCTCAGCAGGAAAGGTCATGCTCACAGGATTTTGGGACCAGCACGGAGTAGGATTGATGGATTTCCTATCAAAGGATCCCATGATCACTGGGGAAGACTTGGCTTCACTGCTGCGGAAATTGCAGGAGGCCATCTAAACCAAGAGACAATGTGGCATGCTCCCCAAAGGTGTCCTTTGCCTTCTGCAAGACAATGCACCAGTTCGCAACTCCCATGTTGTCCAAATGGAAGAAGCATGCTCTGGTGGCTTTGACATTCTTCCACATCCCCCTTATCCATTTGGACTTCCATCCCCTTTCAACAAGGATGTTATTGGTTTGTTGTAGGTTTTTTTTCGTGCTATATGGCCATGTTCTAGAGTTATTTTTGAAGGGCAAGCATTTCTCAGATGATGAGACTCTGATTCCTGAAGTCACCGCATGGCTTTTGGCGCAACCTGTCAACTTCTACAAGCGAGGCGTTTACAGTTGCTTAACAAGATGAGAGGAGTGTGTGTCTCTAGATCAGTGGTTCTCAACCGGGGGGTCCCCAAATGTTTTTGGCCTACAACTCCCAGAAATCCTAGCCGGTTTTCCAGCTGTTAGGATTTCTGGGAATTGAAGGCTAAAACATCTGGGGACCCCAGGTTGAGAACCACTGGGCTAGAGAGAGAAAGAAACAATGAATCCATGTACGAATTGGCATGTGACATATTTTTATCATCCTTTCTGGAAGTTGGAGGCCAAAAACATCTGGGGACCCCAGGTTGAGAACCACTGTGTTAGGATTTCTGGAAGTTGGAGGCCAAAAACATCTGGGGACCCCAGGTTGAGAACCACTGTGTTAGGATTTCTGGAAGTTGGAGGCCAAAAACATCTGGGGACCCCAGGTTGAGAACCACTGTGTTAGGATTTCTGGAAGTTGGAGGCCAAAAACATCTGGGGACCCCAGGTTGAGAACCACTGTGTTAGGATTTCTGGAAGTTGGAGGCCAAAAACATCTGGGGACCCCAGGTTGAGAACCACTGTGTTAGGATTTCTGGAAGTTGGAGGCCAAAAACATCTGGGGACCCCAGGTTGAGAACCACTGTGTTAGGATTTCTGGAAGTTGGAGGCCAAAAACATCTGGGGACCCCAGGTTGAGAACCACTGTGTTAGGATTTCTGGAAGTTGGAGGCCAAAAACATCTGGGGACCCCAGGTTGAGAACCACTGTGTTAGGATTTCTGGAAGTTGGAGGCCAAAAACATCTGGGGACCCCAGGTTGAGAACCACTGTGTTAGGATTTCTGGAAGTTGGAGGCCAAAAACATCTGGGGACCCCAGGTTGAGAACCACTGTGTTAGGATTTCTAGAAGTTGGAGGCCAAAAACATCTGGGGACCCCAGGTTGAGAACCACTGTGTTAGGATTTCTGGAAGTTGGAGGCCAAAAACATCTGGGGACCCCAGGTTGAGAACCACTGTGTTAGGATTTCTGGAAGTTGGAGGCCAAAAACATCTGGGGACCCCAGGTTGAGAACCACTGTGTTAGGATTTCTGGAAGTTGGAGGCCAAAAACATCTGGGGACCCCAGGTTGAGAACCACTGTGTTAGGATTTCTGGAAGTTGGAGGCCAAAAACATCTGGGGACCCCAGGTTGAGAACCACTGTGTTAGGATTTCTGGAAGTTGGAGGCCAAAAACATCTGGGGACCCCAGGTTGAGAACCACTGTGTTAGGATTTCTGGAAGTTGGAGGCCAAAAACATCTGGGGACCCCAGGTTGAGAACCACTGTGTTAGGATTTCTGGAAGTTGGAGGCCAAAAACATCTGGGGACCCCAGGTTGAGAACCACTGTGTTAGGATTTCTGGAAGTTGGAGGCCAAAAACATCTGGGGACCCCAGGTTGAGAACCACTGTGTTAGGATTTCTGGAAGTTGGAGGCCAAAAACATCTGGGGACCCCAGGTTGAGAACCACTGTGTTAGGATTTCTGGAAGTTGGAGGCCAAAAACATCTGGGGACCCCAGGTTGAGAACCACTGTGTTAGGATTTCTGGAAGTTGGAGGCCAAAAACATCTGGGGACCCCAGGTTGAGAACCACTGTGTTAGGATTTCTGGAAGTTGGAGGCCAAAAACATCTGGGGACCCCAGGTTGAGAACCACTGTGTTAGGATTTCTAGAAGTTGGAGGCCAAAAACATCTGGGGACCCCAGGTTGAGAACCACTGTGTTAGGATTTCTGGAAGTTGGAGGCCAAAAACATCTGGGGACCCCAGGTTGAGAACCACTGTGTTAGGATTTCTGGAAGTTGGAGGCCAAAAACATCTGGGGACCCCAGGTTGAGAACCACTGTGTTAGGATTTCTAGAAGTTGGAGGCCAAAAACATCTGGGGACCCCAGGTTGAGAACCACTGTGTTAGGATTTCTGGAAGTTGGAGGCCAAAAACATCTGGGGACCCCAGGTTGAGAACCACTGTGTTAGGATTTCTGGAAGTTGGAGGCCAAAAACATCTGGGGACCCCAGGTTGAGAACCACTGTGTTAGGATTTCTGGAAGTTGGAGGCCAAAAACATCTGGGGACCCCAGGTTGAGAACCACTGTGTTAGGATTTCTGGAAGTTGGAGGCCAAAAACATCTGGGGACCCCAGGTTGAGAACCACTGTGTTAGGATTTCTGGAAGTTGGAGGCCAAAAACATCTGGGGACCCCAGGTTGAGAACCACTGTGTTAGGATTTCTGGAAGTTGGAGGCCAAAAACATCTGGGGACCCCAGGTTGAGAACCACTGTGTTAGGATTTCTGGAAGTTGGAGGCCAAAAACATCTGGGGACCCCAGGTTGAGAACCACTGTGTTAGGATTTCTGGAAGTTGGAGGCCAAAAACATCTGGGGACCCCAGGTTGAGAACCACTGTGTTAGGATTTCTGGAAGTTGGAGGCCAAAAACATCTGGGGACCCCAGGTTGAGAACCACTGTGTTAGGATTTCTGGAAGTTGGAGGCCAAAAACATCTGGGGACCCCAGGTTGAGAACCACTGTCTTAGGATTTCTGGGAGTTGGAGGTCAAAAACATCTGGGGACCCCAGGTTGAGAACCACTGTGTTAGGATTTCTGGAAGTTGGAGGCCAAAAACATCTGGGGACTCCAGGTTGAGAACCACTGTGTTAGGATTTCTGGAAGTTGGAGGCCAAAAACATCTGGGGACCCCAGGTTGAGAACCACTGTGTTAGGATTTCTGGAAGTTGGAGGCCAAAAACATCTGGGGACCCCAGGTTGAGAACCACTGTGTTAGGATTTCTGGAAGTTGGAGGCCAAAAACATCTGGGGACCCCAGGTTGAGAACCACTGTGTTAGGATTTCTGGAAGTTGGAGGCCAAAAACATCTGGGGACCCCAGGTTGAGAACCACTGTGTTAGGATTTCTGGAAGTTGGAGGCCAAAAACATCTGGGGACTCCAGGTTGAGAACCACTGTGTTAGGATTTCTGGAAGTTGGAGGCCAAAAACATCTGGGGACTCCAGGTTGAGAACCACTGTGTTAGGATTTCTGGAAGTTGGAGGCCAAAAACATCTGGGGACCCCAGGTTGAGAACCACTGTGTTAGGATTTCTGGAAGTTGGAGGCCAAAAACATCTGGGGACTCCAGGTTGAGAACCACTGTGTTAGGATTTCTGGAAGTTGGAGGCCAAAAACATCTGGGGACCCCAGGTTGAGAACCACTGTGTTAGGATTTCTAGAAGTTGGAGGCCAAAAACATCTGGGGACCCCAGGTTGAGAACCACTGTGTTAGGATTTCTGGAAGTTGGAGGCCAAAAACATCTGGGGACCCCAGGTTGAGAACCACTGTGTTAGGATTTCTGGAAGTTGGAGGCCAAAAACATCTGGGGACCCCAGGTTGAGAACCACTGTGTTAGGATTTCTAGAAGTTGGAGGCCAAAAACATCTGGGGACCCCAGGTTGAGAACCACTGTGTTAGGATTTCTGGAAGTTGGAGGCCAAAAACATCTGGGGACCCCAGGTTGAGAACCACTGTGTTAGGATTTCTGGAAGTTGGAGGCCAAAAACATCTGGGGACCCCAGGTTGAGAACCACTGTGTTAGGATTTCTGGAAGTTGGAGGCCAAAAACATCTGGGGACCCCAGGTTGAGAACCACTGCTCTAGATGGTGGCACCCATGGAGAGAGAAAGGAATCAGAAGTGGGCTCTCCATCCACAGGAAGTGGGTCAGGGGGAATCTTTCATGAACGCCCCTCGTAAGTGCTGACCAAGACTTTGGGAGGGTGGGGCGCCTCCCCACAGGCAACCTCTAAGCAGGGGTCCCATCCCCCCACCCAGTAGGAAAGGCTTTTGGGGTGGGCCAGAAGGGGTGGTATAGGAGGTGGAGAAGGGAGGACCAAGGATTGAGGAGCAGCAGTGAGAAGCCAGAGCTTTGCGGAGCAAAAGAAGACCAGCTTGTCTTAGGGGAAGGGGCGCAAACCCAGAGCTACGGTGACCCAATGAACCCGCCCCACACCTGGCCCCCCCCCCCCCCCCCGAGTGCCTTTCATTTGCAGGTTGTGCCGGCTGGTGCGTAGCAGCAATGGGATGGTGTCCGGTCATGCAGCTTCCCTTCCCTGCCCAACCTCCCCCAGCTTGGCGAGTGGGCAACGGGGCCCACCGGGAGCCACGCGTGGCATGGGATGGAGACGCGCGAGGCCCGGCCGGCCCCACCGTGGGTGGAATGGGGCAAGATGGGAAGGGCGGGTAAGCCAAGCCCACAGCAACAACACACAGTTCGTACCCAGGAGAGTTACGTGAGCCGTGCCTGGAAAGCAAGAAAGAAAAGGAGATTTGAACTAACTGGCTCAAAAGAGGGGAGGCCAACGGCGGGCAAGTGGCACCAACGCAACCAGGGTCAGAGGAGGGTTGAGAGGTGCCCAACGGCAAAGCCTTGCCAGGGAGTCTCTTTCCAAGGTGGACTGGCAAGGGGCATGTTTCTAAACCAGAGAGGAAAGGAGATTGCCATTCCCATTCAGGGAAGGGAAGTCTCACTTCATCAAATGCTGGAAAGTGAGTGCAGGCCACGGGTCACATGGACTATATGGCCATGTTCTAGAGGCATTATCTCCTGACATTTCGCCTGCATCTATGGCAAGCATCCTCAGAGGTAGTGAGGTCTGTTGGAAGTAGGAAAATGGGGTTTATATATCTGTGGAATGACCAGGGTGGGACAAAGGACTCTTGTCTGCTGGAGCTAGGTGTGAATGTTTCAACTGACCACCTTGATTAGCATATAATGGCCTGAAGTGCCTGGAGCAATCTTTTGTTGAGAGGTGATTAGATGTCCCTGTTTGTTTCCTCTCTGTTGTTGTGCTGTTCTAATTTTAGAGTTTTTTAATACTGGTAGCCAGATTTTGTTCATTTTCATGGTTTCCTCCTTTCTGTTGAAATTGTCCACATGCTTGTGGATTTCAATGGCTTCTCTGTGTTTTCTGATGGTCTTTGGCAACCCCTCTGGCAACCCCCTTGCGACCCCCCAGTTGTTTCAACTCACCACCTTGATTAGCATTTGATGGCCTGGCAGTGCCTGGGGCAATCTTTTGTTTAGAGGTGATTAGATGTCCTAGATTATTTCCTCTCTGTTGTTTTCTGTTGTAATTTTAGAGTTTTTTTAATACTGGTATAAAAATTAATACTATTTTTTGTTCATTTTTCCAAAATTTTATAGTACTAGTAGTGGTGCAGCAGGTTAAACTGCTGAGCTTCTGAACTTGCTGACCGAAAGGTTGGTGGTTCGAATCCGGGGAGCAGGGTGAACTCCCGTTGTTAGGCCCAGCTTCTGCCAATCTAGCAGTTCAAAAACATGCAAGAGTGAGTAGATCAATAGGGCAGGAAGGTAATGGCACTCTATGCAGTCATGCTGGCCACATGACCTTGGAGGTGTCTAATGGACAATGGCGGCTCTTTGGCTTAGAAGTGGAGATGAGCACTAGAGTCCCAGAGTCGGACATGACTAGACTTAATGTCAAGGGGAAACCTTTACGTTTACCTTTAAAATGATTGTGTGTTTTGATTATGTGGTTTTAGCAATGTTGTAACCTGTATAGAGTTACGAGGAAGGGTGGATAAGACATTATATGGCCTTATGTGCTGCCTTGCTTGGCAGCAAAGTGCCTCGGGGTTGCTAAGAGCCATCTTCCCGGGATTTAGGGAAGGAAAAGACCAGGGAAAGGGAGAAACCAGGGCATCTCGTCAAGCAGGAAGGAAAAAGGGTTGGAAATATTCTGCTTCCCTTCGACATAACACTTGCACCCTTGGAACAAAACACCCTGCAAAGCTAGCAAAGAGGAAAATATTTGCAAGGATCGTCTCAAGAACAACATTTTCGGAATGCGAGGCAATTTCTCGGATGCCCTTCAAGGATCTCCCTCCTCGGAGATCCTCCAAGAAGGGGGAAATGACCTCTTCCAGAACTCACCTTCATCCTCGGAAACGTCCAGGATTTCGTCCACCGTCTCTGGGAAACTCATGCGGTGCTTGTCGCTCAATGGCTGCAAAAAGCAACAAGTCAGAGGCGGGCAGACCCCGGGGACCCCTTCATATTATTATTATTATTATTATTATTATTATTATTATTATTATTATTAGAAACACAACAAGATGAGTCCACAGCAGACACTCTGCTGGCTGTTGAATTGGATCACACGTCGGACACTTCCCAAGTGTCTAGGACTACGTGATGTATCAGTGAATAATGCTTGCAGATCCCAGTAAGGTGGCTTTTTCCAGCTGGCAGATGGTAATCTTGTCAGTGCCGATTGTGTTTAAGTGCAGGCCAAGGTCTTGAGGCACTGCACCTAGTGTGCCGATCACCACTGGGACCACCTTTACTGGTTTGTGCCAGAGTCTTTGCAGTTCGATTTTTAAATCCTCATATTGTGTCAGCTTTTCCAGTTGCTGATTACTATTATTATTATTATTATTATTATTATTATTATTATTATTCTCCATGCTGTGCAGTCCTGGGAGTTGTGGTTTCCCAAGGTTCCTATCCTTCTCTTGGAGCATTTACACTATAGACAACAAGATTGGTACACAGCAAACAAGATCACTATGATAGCTGTTGTATTGGGTCACATATTGGACATCATCATTATTATTATTATTATTATTATTATTATTATTATTATTATTATTATTCTCCATGCTGTGCAGTCCTGGGAGTTGTAGTTTCCCAAGGTTCATATCCTTCTCTTGGAGCATTTACACTATAGACAACAAGATTGGTACACAGCAAACAAGATCACTATGATAGCTGTTGTATTGGGTCACATATTGGACATCATCATCATTATTATTATTATTATTATTATTATTATTATTATTATTCTCCATGCTGTGCAGTCCTGGGAGTTGTAGTTTCCCAAGGTTCATATCCTTCTCTTGGAGCATTTACACTATAGACAACAAATCAGTACACAGCAAACAAGATCATTATGCTGGTTGTTGTATTGGATCACACGTCGGACATTATTATTATTATTATTATTATTATTATTATTAGTCTCCATGCAGTGCAGTCCTGGGAGTTGTAGTTTCCCAAGGTTCATATCCTTCTCTTGGAGCATTTACACTATAGACAACAAGATTGGTACTGAGCAAACAAGATCATTATGCTAGCTGTTGTATTGGGTCACACGTCCGACATTATTATTATTATTATTATTATTATTATTATTATTTGATAGACAGCAAACAAGATCACTATGCTAGCTGTTGTATTGGGTCACACGTCAGACATTATTATTATTATTATTATTATTATTATTATTAGTCTCCATGCTGTGCAGTCCTGGGAGTTGTAGTTTCCCAAGGTTCATATCCTTCTCTTGGAGCATTTACACTATAGACAACAAGATTAGTACACAGCAAACAAGATCATAATGCTAGCTGTTGTATTGGGTCACACGTCAGACATTATTATTATTATTATTATTATTATTAGTCTCCATGCTGTGCAGTCCTGGGAGTTGTAGTTTCCCAAGGTTCATATCCTTCTCTTGGAGCATTTACACTATAGACAACAAGATTAGTACACAGCAAACAAGATCATAATGCTAGCTGTTGTATTGGGTCACACGTCAGACATTATTATTATTATTATTATTATTATTAGTCTCCATGCTGTGCAGTCCTGGGAGTTGTAGTTTCCCAAGGTTCATATCCTTCTCTTGGAGCATTTACACTATAGACAACAAGATTAGTACACAGCAAACAAGATCATAATGCTAGCTGTTGTATTGGGTCACACGTCCGACATTATTATTATTATTATTATTATTATTAGTCTCCATGCTGTGCAGTCCTGGGAGTTGTAGTTTCCCAAGGTTCATATCCTTCTCTTGGAGCATTTACACTATAGACAACAAGATTAGTACACAGCAAACAAGATCATAATGCTAGCTGTTGTATTGGGTCACACGTCAGACATTATTATTATTATTATTATTATTATTAGTCTCCATGCTGTGCAGTCCTGGGAGTTGTAGTTTCCCAAGGTTCATATCCTTCTCTTGGAGCATTTACACTATAGACAACAAGATTAGTACACAGCAAACAAGATCATAATGCTAGCTGTTGTATTGGGTCACACGTCAGACATTATTATTATTATTATTATTATTATTAGTCTCCATGCTGTGCAGTCCTGGGAGTTGTAGTTTCCCAAGGTTCATATCCTTCTCTTGGAGCATTTACACTATAGACAACAAGATTGGTACTCAGCAAACAAGATCATAATGCTAGCTGTTGTATTGGGTCACACGTCCGACATTATTATTATTATTATTATTATTATTAGTCTCCATGCTGTGCAGTCCTGGGAGTTGTAGTTTCCCAAGGTTCATATCCTTCTCTTGGAGCATTTACACTATAGACAACAAGATTGGTACACAGCAAACAAGATCATAATGCTAGCTGTTGTATTGGGTCACACGTCCGACATTATTATTATTATTATTATTATTATTATTATTATTATTATTAGTCTCCATGCAGTGCAGTCCTGGGAGTTGTAGTTTCCCAAGGTTCATATCCTTCTCTTGGAGCATTTACACTATAGACAACAAGATTGGTACTGAGCAAACAAGATCATTATGCTAGCTGTTGTATTGGGTCACACGTCCGACATTATTATTATTATTATTATTATTATTATTATTTGATAGACAGCAAACAAGATCACTATGCTAGCTGTTGTATTGGGTCACACGTCAGACATTATTATTATTATTATTATTATTATTATTATTATTATTAGTCTCCATGCTGTGCAGTCCTGGGAGTTGTAGTTTCCCAAGGTTCATATCCTTCTCTTGGAGCATTTACACTATAGACAACAAGATTAGTACACAGCAAACAAGATCATAATGCTAGCTGTTGTATTGGGTCACACGTCAGACATTATTATTATTATTATTATTATTATTATTATTAGTCTCCATGCTGTGCAGTCCTGGGAGTTGTAGTTTCCCAAGGTTCATATCCTTCTCTTGGAGCATTTACACTATAGACAACAAGATTAGTACACAGCAAACAAGATCACTATGCTAGCTGTTGTATTGGGTCACACGTCAGACATTATTATTATTATTATTATTATTATTATTATTATTAGTCTCCATGCTGTGCAGTCCTGGGAGTTGTAGTTTCCCAAGGTTCATATCCTTCTCTTGGAGCATTTACACTATAGACAACAAGATTAGTACACAGCAAACAAGATCATAATGCTAGCTGTTGTATTGGGTCACACGTCAGACATTATTATTATTATTATTATTATTATTATTATTATTATTAGTCTCCATGCTGTGCAGTCCTGGAAGTTGTAGTTTCCCAAGGTTCATATCCTTCTCTTGGAGCATTTACAATATAGACAACAAGATTAGTACACAGCAAACAAGATCATAATGCTAGCTGTTGTATTGGGTCACACGTCAGACATTATTATTATTATTATTATTATTATTATTATTATTATTATTTGATAGACAACAAGATTGGTACACAGCAAACAAGATCACTATGCTAGCTGTTGTATTGGGTCACACGTTGGACCCTTCCCAAGTGTCCAGGACTGTGTGATGAATTTATGCAGATTCCAGTAGGGTGGCCTTTTGCAGCTGACAGGTGGTGATTTTGTCAGCACCAATTGTTTTTAAGTGCAGGCCAAGGTCTTTAGGCACTGCACCCAGTGTGCTGATCGCCACTGGGACCACCTTGACTGGCTTGTGCCAGAGTCCTTGCAATTCGATCTTTAAATCCTTGGGGCTAAAGCAATGCATTGAAACACTTGCATACATATGGCACACCTGGACATGGAACTCACCACAAAGCTGGTCTCCTCAGTGACGATTTTGAGGACGTCGGTGACGGAAATGTAGCCCAGTCGCTTGGCAATGGCCAGAGGGGTTGCCCCGTTCTGCAGAGAGAAAGAGGAAAGAGTCCCTTAGCGAAGCCGAGGCCAGTTTGGCTCCAGGGCTCTCTGCAACTCCAGCGTTTCCTTTTTCTAAACATGCCCTTAAGAGTATTGTCGAAGGCTTTCATGGCCGGAATCACTGGGTTGTTGTAGGTTTTTCCGGGCTATATGGCCATGTTCTGGAGGCAATTTTTCTCCTGACGTTTCGCCTGCATCTATGGCAAGCATCCTCAGAGGTAGTGAGGTCTGTTGAAAGTAGGAAAAATGGGTTTATATATCTGTGGAATGACCAGGGTGAGACAAAGGACTTTTGTCTGCTGGGGCTAGCTGTGAATGTTTCAGCTGATCACCTTGATTAGCATTCAATGGCTTGGAAGTGCCTGGGGGAATCTTTTGTTGAGAGTGGACACAGCATATTATTTGAGAACACAGAAGTGCTGGACCACTCTCACAACCACCATGTCAGACTACACAGAGAAGCCATTGAAATCCACAAGCATGTGGACAATTTCAACAGAAAGGAAGAAACCATGAAAATGAACAAGATCTGGCTACCAGTATTAAAAAACTCAAAAATTACAACAGCAAAACAGAGAGTAAACAACAGGCACATAAAATCACTCTCAACAAAAGATTCCCCCCAGGCACTTCCAAGCCGTTGAATGCTAATCAAGGTGATCAGCTGAAACATTCACACCTCGCTCCAGCAGACAAGAGTCCTTTGTCTCACCCTGGTCATTCCACAGATATATAAACCCTTTTTCCTAGTTCCAACAGACCTCACTACCTCTGAGGATGCTTGCCATAGATGCAGGCGAAACGTCAGGAGAAAAATTGCCTCCAGAACATGGCCATATAGCCCGGAAAAACCTACAACAACCCATGCCCTTAAGACTTTCAATCTGGCCTGCATAAATTATACAAATTTGCATAAATTATACAAATTTGGGTGCTGGAACAGAACTTGGGAAATCCAGATTCTGGACTCCACTGAGCCATAAAGCCCCTTATTGACCCTAGGCCGGATTCCCTTCCTTTTAACTTAACCCAACCCATAGATTCATTGAGAGGATCGAGATGGGAGATTGACAGCTGTGGATGGAAGCTTTGATATGTATGACTCCCTAATCTCCACAGAGGAAAGCCAAAGTTCTGAAGGAGTTCATTCAGGGCACGAAAGCCTGGCCTCTTTGAACCATTGCAAATCTTACTCAATCACTCTGGATTCTGGACATTTTAAAGTACACCAAGACCCCTCTAACCACGGAACCTATATCCACTGTTCTCCGTGGACACAAACTGGGATCTCGGTAAAGAATGGCAATGGGACACCCAATTTAGCCAGCTACCTGAGATGAGGAACCATTTGATAACATGTCCCACATCCAGGCCTGATCAATATCTTGATTAATGACTTAGATCAGTGTTTCTCAACATGGGGGGTCGGGACCCCTGGGGAGGTCGCAAGGGAATGTCAGAGGGGTCACCGAAAACCATCAGAATATACAATATTTTCTGTTTGTCATGTGGGTTCTGTGTGGGAGGTTTGGCCCAATTCTGTCATTGGTGGGATTCAGAATGCTCTTTGATTGTATGTGAACTATAAATTCCAGCACTACAACTCCCAAATAGCAAGGTCTATTTTCCCCCAAACTCCATATGTGTTTACATTTAGGCATATGGAGTATTCATGCCAAGTTTGGTCCAGATCCATCATTGTTTGAGTCCACAGTGCTCTCTGGGTGTAGGTGAACTACAACTCCAAAACTCAAGGTCAATGCCCTGCAAACCCTTCCAGGGTTTTCTGTTGGTCATGGGAGTTCTGTGTGTGAAGTTTGGTCCAATTCTGTCATTGGTGGGGTTCCGAATGCTTTTTGATTGTAGGTGAACTATAAATCCCAGCAACTACAACTCCCAAATAGCAAGGTCTATTTTCCCCAAACTCCATCTGTGTTCACATTTGCGCATATGGCGTATTCAGGCTAAGCTTGGTCCAGATCCACCATTGTTTGAGTCCACAGTGCTCTCTGGATATAGGTGAACTACAATTCCAAAATTCAAGGTCAATGCCCACCAAGCCCTTCCAGTGTTTTTTGTTGGTCATGGGAGTTCTGTGTGGGAAGTTTGGTCCAATTCTGTCATTGGTGGGGTTCCGAATGCTTTTTGATTGTAGGTGAACTATAAATCCCAGCAACTACAACTCCCAAATAGCAAGGTCTATTTTCCCCAAACTCCATCTGTGTTCACATTTGGGCATATGGAGTATTCATGTCAAGTGTGGTCCAGATCCATTATTGTTTGAGTCCACAGTGCACTCTAGATGTAGGTGAACTACAACTCCAAAACTCAAGGTCAATGTCCACCAAACCCTTCCAGGGTTTTCTGTTGGTCATGGGAGTTCTGTGTGGCCAAGTCTGGTTCAATTCCATCATTGGCGGAGTTCGGAATGTCCTTTGATTGTAGGTGAACTATAAATCCCAGCAACTACAACTCCCAAATGACAAAATCAATCCCCCCCTCAACTCCACCAGTATTCTAATTTGAGCATATTGGGTATTTGTGCCAAATTTGGTTCAGTGAATGGAAATGCATCCTGCATATCAGATATTTACAGTATGATTCATAACAGTAGCGAAATTACAGTTATGAAGGAGCAACAAAATCAATGTTATGGTTGGGGGTCACCACCACATGAGGAACCGTATTAAGGGGTTGCAGCATTAGGAAGGTTGAGAAGCACTGACTTAGATGAAAGGTTCGAAGGTGGGACTCAAGTGGGAGGGAGAGCCAAGATTCCAGAAGAGAGTAGCAGAATTCAAAACCATCATCACAGATCAGGGAGATGATGGGTCAAAACGAACACAATGAAGTCCAACAGGGGTAAATGCAAGAGACTCCACTTAGGCGGAAAAAAGGAAATGCAAAGAGACAGAATGGGGGACGACAATGCCTGGCTCAAGAGCAGTACGTGTGAAAAAGATCTTGGAGTCCTCATGGACAACAAGTTAAACATGAGCCAGGAATGTGATGTGGCGGCAAAAAAAGCCAATGGGATTTTGTCCTGCATCAATAGGAGTCTAGTGTCTAGATCCAGGGAAGTCATGCTCCCCATGCTCTATTCTGCCTTGGTCACACCACATCTGGAATCACACTGTGTCCAATTCTGGGCACCACAATTGAAGGGAGATGTTGACTCCAAGCTGGAATGTGTCCAGAGGAGTGTGACTAAAAGGGTCAAAGGTCTGGAGAACAAGCCCTATGAGGAGCGGCTGAAAGAGCTGGGCATGTTTAGCCTTGAGAAGAGAAGGCTGAGAGGAGGCATGATGAGGGCCATGGATCAAGATGTGAGAAGTCATGTTGTTTTTCATTCGTTTAGTCGTGACCTTAGGGACCAGTCCACGCCAGAGCTCCCTGTCGGCCGTGGCCACCCCCACGGGCTCCTTCAAGGTCAATCCAGTCACTTCAAGGATGCCATCCCTCCATCTTGCCCTTGGTCGGCCCCTCTTCCTTTTGCCTTCCACTTTCCCCAGCATCATTGTCTTCGCTAGGCTTTGCTGTCTCCTCATGATGTGGCCAAAGTACTTCAACTTTGTCTCTAGTATCCTTCCCTCCAGTGAGCAGCCGGGCTTTATTTCCTGGAGGATGGATCTTCTCGCAGTCCAAGGCACTCTCAGAACTTTCCTCCAACACCACAGCTCAAAAGCATCTCTCTTCCTTCGCTCAGCCTTCCCTAAGGTCCAGCTCTCACCTCCGTAGGTTACTACAGGGAATACCATGGCTTTGACTAGGCGGATCTTTGTTGCCAGTCTGATGTCTCAACTCTTTACTATTTTATCGAGATTGGTCATTGCTCTCCTCCCAAGAAGGAAACGTCTTCTGATTTCCTGGCCACAGTCTGCATCTGCAGTAATCTTTGCACCTAGAAATACAAAGTCTGTCACGGCGTCCACGTTTTCTCCCTCTATTTCCCAGTTGTCAATCATTCTTGTTGCCATAATCTTGGTTTTTTTGATGTTTAGCTGCAACCCAGCTTTTGCGCTTTCTTCTTTCACCTTGATTAGAAGGCTCCTCAGCTCCTCCTCGCTTTCGGCCATCAAAGTGGCGTCATCTGCATATCTAAGGTTGTTAATGTTTCTTCCAGCATTTTTAACCAGAAGCCTTGCATTCCTCAAGCCCCGCACATCGCATGATGTGTTCTGCATACAAGTTGTATAGGTTGGGTGAGAGTAGCAAAATTTGATGTTGAACAATGACTTCAAACTACAGGGAAGGAGATTCCACCTGAACATTAGGAAGAACTTCCTGACCGTGGGAGCTGTTCAGCAGTGGAACTCTCTGCCTCGGAGGGAGTGTGGTGGAGGCTACTTCTTAATAATAATAATAATACTAAAGGTAAAGGTAGTCCCCTGACATTAAGTCCAGTCATGTCTAACTCTGGGGTGTGGTGCTCATCTCCATTTCTAAGCCGAAGAGCCAGCGTTGTCCGTAGACACCTCCAAGGTCATGTGGCCAGCATGACTGCATGGAGCGCCGTTACCTTGTTGTAGGTTTTTCCGGACTATATGGCCATGTTCTAGAGGCATTTTCTCCTGATGTTTCGCCTGCATCTATGGCAAGCATCCTCAGAGGTAGTGAGGGATGCTTGCCATAGATGCAGGCGAAACGCCAGGAGAAAATGCCTCTAGAACATGGCCATATAGCCCAGAAAAACATACAACAACCCAGTGATTCCGGCCATGAAAGCCTTCGACAATAATAATAATACTTTATTTATACCCCGCTCCATCTCCCCCAGGGGGACTCGGGGCGGCTTACATGAGGCCATGCCCATCAACACAATAGACACAGTATACACAAAACATAAAATGCAAAAACCAATATAATAAACAACACAGCAATATAAAATCAAACATCAAACACAAGAAATTCCACAGGGCAGGGCCACTTCAGAATAAAAATTTAAAATATTTTAAAAACACTGGGAGATAGGCAATGTAAAATTGTCGTGAAGGGATTGGAAGCTTTTAAACAGAGGCTGGATGGCCATCTGTTGGGGGTGCTTTGAATGGTTCGCAGCTTGGGAGTGACCCTGGACTCATCGCTGAGCCTGGAACCCCAGGTCTCGGCGGTGACCAGGGGAGCATTTGCACAGTTAAAGCTTGTGCGCCAGCTGCGCCCATACCTTGGGAAGTCTGACTTGGCCACGGTAGTCCACGCTCTGGTTACATCCCGTTTAGACTACTGCAACGCTCTCTACGTGGGGTTGCCTCTGAAGACTGCCCGGAAGCTTCAATCAGTCCAACGCGGCAGCCAGATTGTTAACAGGAGCAGGGTACAGAGACCACACGACCCCTCTGTTACGCCAGCTCCACTGGCTGCCGATCAGCTTCCGGGCACAATTCAAAGTGCTGGTGTTGACCTATAAAGCCCTAAACGGCTCTGGCCCAGTTTACCTGTCCGAACGGATTCTCCCCTATGAGCCATCAAGGCTACTAAGATCTTCCGGGGGGGCCCTGCTCTCGGTCCCACCACCCTCACAATCACGGTTGGTGGGGACGAGAGACAGGGCCTTCTCGGTGGTGGCTCCCCGGCTTTGGAACTCCCTCCCACTAGAGGTTAGATCTGCCCCCTCCCTCCTGACGTTCAGGAAATCGTTAAAAACATGGCTCTGGAATGCGGCATTCAAAGACTGAACCTGGAACCTTCCCTGTGATGGATTATGATGAACTGCGACTATGAATATGATTATGACCATGACTGGATTGACGATTTGGCGTAGGAAACTGTAATGATGTAATGATGAGGTTTTTATTGTACTGAGTTGTACTATTTTAATATGTAATGAGTTGTATTTGCTGTTTTATCTGATTGTATTTGATATGTACTGTAAACCGACCTGAGTCCCTCGTCGAGGTTGAGAAGGCCGGTATAGAAATCCTCCAAATAAATAAATAAATAAATAAATAAATAAATAAAATGCAATGTTCCCACTTTTTGGCAGAATTGGGTTGGACTGGATGGTCCACGTGGTCTCTTCCAACTCTAGGATTCTATGTTTGCTCCAGGCTGAACTGCAAGTGGCATGAAAAGCAAACCCATCTGAAACCAGAATGAGCAGCGTCATCCATTTATGTTCTGCACTTTGGGCATTTCTTTTTTCTGCCTATGGAAACACATCAATCAACGTCTGCCACATCAAGAGACTGGTTGAGTTGTCACACACATCAGCCTCGTAGGCTAGATTCCCATTTCATCTCACATCTTTCCAAAAGCAGCCCTCCCCAGCACATTGTGTTCATCTGGATCAGCAACCCTGCCGGTGCCGGTCTGCACAGCTCACCGCGAGAAAGGGCCGGCAGGGAGAAAGGTACTTTTCAAAACACAGAAGCAACTCAGGAGGTTTGGCCACTGTCTGGCTGGTCAGGCTCTTGGTGTTTCCTACTCACCGAACTGACTTCGTTGGGTGAGGCCCCGTGTTTTAGCAGGAGGGTGACGATGTCGGTGTGGCCCTGTTGTGCCGCCTGGTGCAGCGGCGTGTATCCCAGCTGGAAAGGAAAAAAGACCCCATCACTCATCATGCATTAGACCAGTGTTTCTCAACCTGGGGGTCAGGACCTCTGGGGGGGGGGTCGCAAGGGGGTGTCAGAGGGGTCACTAAAGACAATTAGAAAACACAATATTTACTGTTGGTTGTGGGGGTTCTGTGTGGGAAGTTTGTCCCAGTTCTATCGTTAGTGGGGTTCAGAATGCTCTTTGATTGTAGGTGAACTATAAATCCCAGCAACTACAACTCCCAAATGTCAAGGGCTATCTTCCCCAAACCACATGTCCACATTTGGGCATATTGAGTATTTGTGCCGAGTTTGGTCCAGATGCATAAATGTTTTGAGTCCACAGTGCTGTCTGGATGGAGGTGAACTATAACTCCAAAACCCAAGGTCAATGCCCACCCAGGGGCGGCTCAACCCATTACACAAAGTAAGCATTCGCAGTAAAGTTGATTTTGCCCAGGGGTGCTCTTGAGGGAAAATAGACCTTAACATATGCAAGTTGTAGTTACTGGGATGTATAGTTCACCTACGAGAGACAGGGCCTTCTCGGTGGTGGCCCCTCGGCTATGGAATGCACTACCAGCGGAGATCAGGCAGGCCCCTTCGCTATTGGCGTTTAGGAGGCGGGTTAAGACGTGGCTCTTCGAACAGGCGTTCGGATAAGCATGCAATAACATCTGACTCAGAAAGACGGCATACTGAACAAGGAATGGTAAAACGACTGTGAGATTTGGATCTGATTCTATTCGAGGCGTGATGACGTTATGTGTATTGTTTGTAGTTGTTTGTCACATATATTGTTCAATGTTGCACATTTTACTGTAAACCGCTTAGAGTCGCCGTTGGCTGATATATGCGAATTACTAGGATGTATAGTTCACCTACAATCAAAGAGCATTCTGAACTCCACCAATGATGGAATTGAACCAAATATGGCACACAGAACTCCCACTATGAACAGAAAATATGGTTGGGGGGGGGACGCCAAAATACTGTTTGCTTACCGTTGAAAATTACCTTGGGCCACCTCTGTGCCCACCAAACCCTTCTAGTATTTTCTGTTGGTCATGGGAGCTCTGTGTGCCAAGTTTGGTTCAATTCCATTATTGGTGGAGTTCAGAATGCTCTTTGATATTGTAGGTGAACTATAAATCCCAGCAACCATAACTCCCAAATGACAAAATGAATCCTTCCCTCAACCCCACCAGTATTCAAATTTGGGTGTATCGAGAATTTGTGTCCAAATGAATGGAAATACATCCTGCATATCGGATATTTACAAGATGATTCGTAACAGGAGAAAAATTACAGTTCTGAAATAGCAATGAAAATAAAGTTATGGTTGGGGGTCACCACAACATATGGAACTGTATTAAGGGGACACGGCATTTGGAAGGTTGAGAACCACTGCGTTAGACCATACTGAATATTTACAGCATTGAGGGGATTCTGCATGTATTGCCGCCCATTCGGGTGATTATGTTGAGCAAGTGGACTTACTAACAAAATACACTCCTCATAAATGTACAGCAGAGTAACGTATTAGCAGCGTGGACAGCAATGGCTCCCAAAGTAACCCATTTAAGGTGGAATCAGGTGTCAAACAGGGATGTGTTATTGCCCCAACCTTATTTTCCATCTTCATTGCTATGATACTTCATCCTGTTGATGGGAAGCTTCCCACCGGAGTGGAAATCATCTATCGGACAGATGGCAAGCTGTTTAACCTCAGCAGACTGATAATAATAATAATAATAATAATAATAATAATAACAACAACAACACTTTATTTGTACCCCGCTACCATCTCACCAGGGGACTCGGTGCGGCTTATATGAGGCCGAGCCCGAATACAACAATACAAGCAATAACAACAACAGTACAAGCAATTAAAATAAAAACACAGACAATAAAATATACAACATTATCAATAAGACAACACGCAATTAAAAACAGTGGGAAGGCCAAATGTAAAGTTAAAATTGGAAGTATTTAACCTCAGCAGACTGAAAGCCAAAACCAAGGTTACAACAACATCTGTTATAGAACTACAATATGCTGATGACAACGTCGTCTGTGTGCATTCAGAAGAAGATCTACAAGCCACTCTAAACACCTTCACAGAAGCATACGAGAAGCTCGGCCTGTCATTAAACATTGAGAAAATCAAAGTGCTCTTCCAGCAGTCACCAGCCAATCCCTCTCCAATGCCAGAAATACAGCTTAATGGTGTAACATTAGAAAATGTTGACCATTTCCGCTCCCTTGGCAGCCACCTCTCCACCAAAGTCAACCTCGACACCGAAATACAACGCAATTGCAGCATTTTTCTAAATGAAGCAGAGAGTGTTTGAGGACTGGGACATCCATAGGGATACCAAGGTCCTTGTTTATAAAGCCATTCCCCTCCCAACCCTGCTATATGCCTGCGAGACGTGGACTGTCTACAGACGTCACATGCAATTCCTGGAACAATTCCATCAGCACTGCCTCTAGAAAATCCTGCAAATATCTTGGGAAGACAAGCGGACAAATGTCAGCGTGCTGGAAGAAGCAAAGACCACCAGCATTGAAGCGATGGTCCTCCGCCATCAACTCCGCTGGACTGGCTACATTGTCCGAATGCTCAAAGGAGTTACTTGACTCCTGACTCAAGACTTGAAAACGGAATGTTGGAGGACAGGAAAAGAAATTTAAGGACCGGCTCAAAGCCAACTTTAAAAACTCTGACATAGCCACGGAGAACTGGGAAGCCCTGGCCTGCTCCAGCTTGAGGTCAGCTGTGACCAGCAGTGCTGCAGAATTTGAAGAAGCACAAATGGAGGGTGAAAGGGATAAACATGCCAAGAGGAAGGCACGTTAAGCCAACCCTGACCGGGACAGCCTTCCACCTGGAAACCGATGCCCTCACTGTGGGAGAAGATGCAGGTCAAGAATAGGGCTCCACAGTCACCTATGGACCCACCGCCAGTACACCGAATTTGGAGGACCATAATCCTTGGACTACGAAGGATCGCCTAAGTATGATCCAGCACACCCAGTAGCCAAAAGTGGCAAAAAGAACACAAACACACAGAACCAATGTTATCTCTTCCATAGGAGTAAAATAATATGGTTGCACTATTTACAAGCACTAGGTTTCTGTTGTGTGCCAGCCTGTGAAAGAAAGGCAAACACAAGCCCAGAGCTTGCTGGCATACCTTGGTCTTTGAGTTGACATCTGCTTGGTGCTGCAGGAGGAATTTCACTAGCTTGATGTTCCCATAGTGGCAAGCCACGTGGAGTGGTGTGTATCCCATCTGGAAGGCCGAGATAAAGGCTGTGAGTTATTCCCATGGCGATTGTACCTGGAGGCATCGTGTGCACTGGCACATTTCCTAAATCAGCCTTCCTCTGTATCACACACACACCCATTAGTGTGTGTGTGATTCAGCTGCCGGCATGTGTCATGGTATCAATCTTTCTTTTCTAGCATAGGAAATGCTAGGAACCTGAAAGGGGGATCCCCAAATCAACCCTCCTTCCACAGTTTTGCCCCAACTTTTCGCACTTTGCCAAAGTTTAGGGTTTCATATTGAAAGACCACCTTCTAATCCTCCATAGCCCCAAACATAAATAATATTGATTCCTGTTAACCCATGCCTGCGGTAAACGGTTGCCAGGAAGACTCACCCGCGTTGTCGCATCCACCCGGACGCCGTGTCGGAGGAGGACGTCTGCCACTTGGACGTGTCCCTCCTGGGCCACCAAGTGGAGAGGGGTGAGGCCGCTCTGGAGAGGAGAAACAGGACTTAGGTTAGGCACAGGAAGGCAGGAGGTGGACGGGGGACACCGGGAGCCACGCAAATGGAATCATAGAGTTGGAAGAGACCACAAGGGCTCTCCAGCCCGGGTTGGAGTGGGTTTCCAACCAATTGTGTAGCCTGTTGTCGACCTTTGCAACCCGAAAGACAGTTGCATCTGTCAAGTAGGAAAATAAGGTACCACCTTAAAGTGTGGGGAGGCTAAATTAACTAATTTATGAGGCCATAAAAAAGCACTCCAGCGGGGAAGCATGCGGGGAATGCGGAAGTGCTTCATCAGCGTCGCAGATGGACGATGAAAGCGACACCTCCCCTGGCAGCCAGAAAAAGTTAAATAGCCTCTGTGTATGTCTGTATATGTTTGTATGTCAAAAATTGGCATTGAAGTTTGCCATATATGTGTACACTGTAATCCGCCCTGAGTCCCGTGCGGGGTGAGAAGGGCAGAATATAAAAGTTGCAAATAAATAAATAAGTTCTTCAAAACTTTATTTCTGAGTGAGTACATGACACATATTGTGCTGGCACAACTGTGCCAGAAGCTAAATTTTCTTTTTCTATGCATGGTTAGTTTGCACGTGTTTCTGTTAGCCAGGCATTTTGCAGTTAAGCAGCTTCCCCCAGGCTGCAGTCATAGGCTAGCAGCCTGCCTATCATCGTTGGGGCTTTTGGAACCGCCCTTTTCCCCAGGTTCAGGAGGGAAAAGGGGACAGTTTGTTCAGTCTTACAGTTTGAAGCCCAACTACAGGACGTGTGAGTTTTTCCCTCCTGTTGTTGTGGTTCAACAGGCCCCTGAGCAGCCTGAGCCTGATGGTTTTCAGTTTTCACAGTTTTCTCAGCCTGCTTCTGAGATGGAGAAGCAGTTCTCACAGGACAGGAATGCAGCTGATAAGGAGGAGGGCCAGGTGCTGCTTCAAAGGGATAACGAAACCGTGAGACGGAGCTCTCGGATCGCAGCCAAGTTAGGTCAGCGTCAGGTCAAGGGAGCAGTGGGAAAGCAGATTGTGGGAAACTATTTATTTATTTACTTACTTTATTTGTATACCGCAGTTTCTCAGCCCGTAGGCGACTCAACGCGGTTAACAACAGGAGCAAAAATTCAATGCTAACATCATACAAACTATTTAAAAACAATTAACACCATAATATACTAAGTAATTACACATCAGTAAACAACTCATTAGCATCTCATAACTAGAATCATGATCCAGCTCGTCATCCGTATTCCGTTTTCCTATATTCATTGCACTGCCTATCCAAACGCCTGTTCAAATAGCCAGGTTTTCAGTTTTCTTTGAAATACCATTAATGAGGGGGCCAATCTAATGTCCATCTAGAAACTAGATTGTTTTGATGTGCAAAATGTATTTAGGGCTTCCACGGGCAATTCTTAGCTGTCAGTTTCAACGTGGCTATCTGCTAGCTGTTTCATGCTTCTGCATTGGTTTCTTCGTGCTGCTTTTGGGCTAAGCTGCTGGGCACAGGGTTTGTGCTTCCTGCTTCATGATTCCTGTTTACTTTGATTGTCTCTGAAGGATTTCTGGAACTGTACCGTGCATTTTACCTGAACTTTGGAACTTTGTATTGACTTAACCTTTGCCTTCTTTTGGAAACTTTACAATAAACTATAAATCCTACAGCCGTGGTCTGGTGGTGTTTGAGAGCAAGGTGAAGCTTAACCTGAGGTGCCACACCTGTAGAAAAGCTTCATTTCTTACAAGCTTGGCTGGGGAAGACAATTCTCACAGCTTTACTAAGAAATACAGCACAGCCCTTGTTGGGGTTAAAGAAACAGATCCACAGCATTCGTGGAAAAAATCCAAAGGACTCCAGCTGGAAAATCTTCAGAGTTTTAGCTGGTAAGGTCTACTCGGGTACCCATAAAGCAAATTGGAACCGGGAGTAGGGCCCCACGCCAGCTAAGCCTAAAAGACAGATTGCCCAGGGAGGGGTCAAAAGGATTTCCCTCATAGAAGAAAGAAACAGTTCATGAAGCTAGTTGCCTGTCCATTGTGGACAAGTTAAGAAATATTTGGTTGATTTGTTGAAGATCTAAGAAGTATTTGACTGATTTGTTGCACCAATAAAGAACTTTGTTAAACTTTCCAAGCTTCTAAAGACTTTGTATAGGGAAATTCATAGGGCCTCTCAGCCGAGGCACCCCGGTGTCCCGCTGGGCACATAAAGATCATGTCCTGTTAATAGACAATTGCTACAGGCCCAGCGTGTGACAGCACAGCCATCCAGCCTTTGTTGAAAAGCTTTCAAGGAAGGATGCCAACTTTAGGACATACCAAAGCCATCAGTAAAGGTTTCCCTTGACATCAAGCCTAGTTGTGTCCAAATTTGGTGCTCATCTCCACTTCTAGGACAAAGAGCCGGCATTGCCCATAGACACCTCCAAGGTCATGTGGCCAGCATGACTAAATGGAGCACCGTTATCTTCCCACCAAAGCGTTACTCACATTTGCATGTTTTCCAACTGCTAGGTTGGCAGAAGCTGGGTCTAACAGTGGGAACTCACCCAGCTCCCCAGATTCAAACCGCTAACATTTCGGTCAGCAAGTTCATCAGCTCAGCGGTTTAACCCGCTGCGCCATCAGAGGGTAAAAAGGCATACGACTGCCAATGAAGACAGCAGAATGAAAAATTGTAGGAAGCCAAGCTTAACCAGAGTGCATCTCCAACACTAATAATAATAATAATAATAATAATAATAATAATAATAATAATAATAATAATAATCTTTATTAGTACCCTGCCACCATCTCCCCGATGGAAACTCAGTGCGGCTTACATGAGGCCAAGCCCAAACCACCACTACTACTACTACTACTATTAATAATAATAATAAACTTTATTAGTACCCTGCCACCATCTGTGTTTTTAAATGTATTTTAACTGTGCCTTCAACTTGCTTCTGACACGATTAAAAATAAATTTTATTATCTAAGAGTATATTGTCCCCTGTTCCTCTCCATAAGCAAAGGGTCAGGGAATGCACCCACCTTGTTGCCCAAGTTGCCATTGGCTTGCTTGGAGAGGAGCAGCAGCACCATTTCGGCATGGCCCTCCTGGGCGGCCAGGTGGAGCGGGGTCACTCCTTGGGTGGACTCTGCGTTGGCCGAGGCTCCGTATTGCAGAAGGCTGCTGGCCACCTCCATCTGGTTCTGCCTGGCGGCGATGTGGAGAGGAGTGTATCCGTTCTGCAGCGGGGAAATCACATAGTCTCAGAAAAGTCACACAAATCGGGACAGTTACACCAAGCATGGGCAAACGTCACCTCTCCAGGTGTTTTGGACTTCAACTCCCACCATTCCTAACAGCCTACCGTCTGTGTGCATTCAGAAAAAGACCTACAAGCCACTCTAAACACCTTCGCAGACTTTGTTTATGTTTGCACAAGCATACGAGAAGCTCGGCTTGTCATTGAACATCGAGAAAACCAAATGGTGACCATTTCTGCTCCCTTGGCAGCCATCTCACCACAAAAGTCAACATTGACACTGAAATACAACACCACCTGAGCTCTGCGAGTGCAGCATTTCTTCCAAATGAAGCACAGAGTGTTTGAGGACTGAGACATCCGTAGGAAGACCAAGATGATACTTCATCTTGTTGATGGGAAGCTTCCCACTAGAGTGGAAATCATCTATCAGAGAGATGGCAAGCTATTTAACCTCAGTAGACTGAAAGCCAAAACCAATGTCACAACAATGTCTCTTATAGAACTCCAGTATGCTGATGACAACGTCGTCTGTGCGCATTCAGAAGAAGACCTACAAGCCACTCTAAACACCTTCGCAGAAGCATACGAGAAGCTCGGCTTGTCATTGAACATAGAGAAAACCAAATGGTGACCATTTCCGCTCCCTTAGCAGCCACCTCACCACAAAACTCAACATTGACACTGAAATACAACACCACCTGAGCTCTGCGAGTGCAGCATTCCTTCCGAATAAAGCACAGAGTGTTTGACACTCCGTAGGAAGACCAAGATGATACTTCATCTTGTTGACAGGAAGCTTCCCACCGGAGTGGAAATCATATATCGGATAGATGGCAAGCTGTTTAACCTCAGTAGACTGAAAGCCAAAACCAATGTCACAACAATGTCTGTTATAGAACTCCAGCATGCTGATGACAGTGTCATCTGTGCGCATTCAGAAGAAGACCTACAAGCCACTCTAAACACCTTCGCAGAAGCATACGAGAAGCTCGGCCTGTCACTGAATATCAAGAAAACCAAAGTGCTCTTCCAGCAGTCACTAGCCAATCCCTCTCCAATGCCAGAGATACAGCTTAATGGTGTAACATTAGAAAATGTTGACCATTTTCACTCCCTTGGCAGCCACCACTCCACCAAAGTCAACATTGACACCGAAATACAACACCACCTGAGCTCTGCAAGTGCAGAATTTCTTCCGAATGAAGCAGAGAGTATTTGATGACAGGGACATCCATAGGGAGACCAAGATGATACTTCATCTTGTTGACAGGAAGCTTCCCACCAGAGTGGAAATCATCTATCAGCTATTTAACCTCAGCAGACTGAAAGCCAAAACCAATGTCACAACAATGTCCGTTATAGAACTCCAGTATGCTGATGACAATGTCGTCTGTGCGCATTCAGAAGAAGACCTACAAGCCACGCTAAACACCTTTGCAGAAGCATACGAGAAGCTCGGCCTGTCATTGAACATGGAGAAAACCAAAGTGCTCTTCCAGCAGACACCAGCCAATCCCTCTCCAATGCCAGTAATACAGCTTAATGGCGTAACATGAGAAAATGGTGACCATTTCCGCTCCCTTGGCAGCCACCTCTCCACAAAAGTCAACACTGACACTGAAATACAACACCACCTGAGCTCTGCGAGTGCAGCATTTCTTCCAAATAAAGCACAGAGTGTTTGAGGACCGGGACATCTGTAGGAAGACCAAGATGATACTTCATCTTGTTGACGGGAAGCTTCCCACCAGAGTGGAAATCATATATCAGACAGATGGCAAGCTATTTAACCTCAGTAGACTGAAAGCCAAAACCAATGTCACAACGTCTGTTATAGAACTCCAGTATGCTGATGACAACGTCGTCTGTGCGCATTCAAAAGAAGACCTACAAGCCACTCTAAACACCTTCGCAGAAGCATACGAGAAGCTCAGCCTGTCATTGAACATCGAGAAAACCAAAGTGCTCTTCCAACAATCACTGGCCAATCCCTCTCCAATGCCAGAGATATTTTATTTATTCATTTACAGTAATTATATTCCGCCCTTCTCACCCCACAGGGGACTCAGGGTGGATTACAATGTGCATACACATGGCAAACATTCAATGCCATTGACACACAACATATATAGACAGACACTCAGAGGCTATTAACACTCCAGTTTCTGGCCACCAGAGGAGCTGTTGCTTCCTCATTCTTTGCATATTTCCTGGAGATTTTTATAGCCTCGTAAATCAGTTAAATTAGCCTCTCCACAAAATGGTACCTAATTTTCCTACTTGACAGATGCAACTGTCTTTCCGACTGCAAAGGTCAACATCAAGCTACACAATTTTGGTCAGGAGCTCACTCCGACACAGACTGGCTTCGAACTTGATCTTAATCTTAATGCAGTTGACTCCTAGCCAGCTCTGCCATCATTTTCTAATTTCCGCTCCCTTGGCAGCCACCTCTCCACCAAAGTCAACATCAACACCGAAATACAACACCGCCTGAGCTCTGCGAGTGCAGCATTTTTCCAAATGAAGCAGAGAGTGTTTGAGGACCGGGACATCTGTAGGGAGACCAAGGGCTTGTTTATAAAGCTATTATCCTCCCAACCCTGCTATATGCCCGCAAAACATGAACTACAGCTCCAAAACTCAAGGTCAATGCCCATCAAACCCTTCCAGTATTTTCTCTTGGTCGTGGGAATTCTGTGTGCCTAGTTTGGTTCAATTCGATTGTGGTGAAGTTCAGTATGCTCTTTGAGTGCAGGTGAACTATAAATCCCAGCAACTACAACTCCCAAATGTCGAGATCTGTTTTCCCCAAACTCCACTACCAGTGTACACATTTGGCCACATTGTGGATTGATGTCAAGTTTGGTCCAGACCCATCATTGTTTGAGTCCACAGTGCTCTCTGGATGTAGGTGAACTACAACTCCAAAACTCAAGGTCAATGCCCATCAAACCCTTCCAGTATTTTCTCTTGGTCTTTGGGAGTTCTGTGTGCCAAGTTTGGTTCAATTCCATTGTGGTGAAGTTCAGTATGCTCTTTGAGTGGAGGTGAACTATAAATCCCAGCAACTACAACTTCCAAATGTCGAGATCTGTTTCCCCCAAACTCCACTACCAGTGTTCACATTTGGCCATATTGAGGATTAATGTCAAGTTTGGTCCAGACCCATCATTGTTTGAGTCCACAGTGCTCTCTGAATGTAGGTGAACTACAACTCCCAAACTGAAGGTCAATGTCCATCAAACACTTCCAGTATTTTCCGTTGGTCGTGGGATTTCTGTGTGCTAAGTTTGGTTCAATTACATTGTGGTGGAGTTCAGAATGCTCTTTGATTGTAGGTGAACTATAAATCCCAGCAACTACAATTCTTAAATGACAAAACAACTTCAAAACTCAAGGTCAATGCCTATCAAACCCTTCCAGTATTTTCTGTTGGTCATGGGATTTCTGTGTGCCAAGTTTGGTTCAGTTCCATTGCGGTGGAGTTCAGTATGCTCTTTGATTGTAGGTGAACTATAAATCCCAGCAACTACAATTCTTAAATGACAAAACAACTCCAAAACTCAAGGTCAATGCCCACAAAACCCTTCCAGTATTTTCTGTTGCTCATGGGATTTCTGTGTGCCAAGTTTGGTTCAGTTTCATCATTGGTGGAGTTCAGAATGCTCTTTGATTGTAAGGTGAACTATAAATCCCAGCAACTACAACTCCCAAATGTCGAGATCTGTTTCCCCCAAACTCCACTACCAGTGTTCATATTTGGCCATATTGAGGATTAATGTCAAGTTTGGTCCAGACCCATCATTGTTTGAGTCCACAGTGCTCTCTGGATGTAGGTGAACTACAACTCCAAAACTCAAGGTCAATGCCCATCAAACACTTCCAGTATTTTCCGTTGGTCGTGGGAGTTCTGTGTGCCAAGTTTGGTTCAATTCCATTGTGGTGGAGTTCAGAATGCTCTTTGATTGTAGGTGAACTATAAATCCCAGCAACTACAATTCTTAAATGACAAAACAACTTCAAAACTCAAGGTCAATGCCTATCAAACCCTTCCAGTATTTTCTGTTGGTCATGGGATTTCTGTGTGCCAAGTTTGGTTCAGTTCCATTGGTGGAGTTCAGTATGCTCTTTGATTGTAGGTGAACTATAAATCCCAGCAACTACAACTCCTAAATGACAAAATCAACCCCACCAGTATTCAAATGTACTGGTATCGGGTATTTGTGCCAAATTTGGTCCAGTGAATGAAAATATATCCTGCATGTCAAATATTTACATGACGATTCATAAGAGTAGCAAAATGACAGTTGTGAAGTAGCAACAAAAATAATGTTATGTTTGGGGGTCACCACCACATGAGGAACTGTGTTAAGGGGTCGCAATATTAGGAAGGCTGAGAAACACCGTGTCTAACCCAAATCTGTTTCCCACTATTGGGAGTCCTCATCCAGCTTCCTTTATCTCGGCTACCCGATTAGTGCCAAGCCCTGATTTGACAGATGGCATCAGAGACAATTAAGGGAGATAAAATCAAACAAAGCCAATGCAATGTAGAGCAGATTAAACGTATAATTAAAAACACAATAGAAGAGAAAGAGTACCCATCGGTCAAAAGTCCTTCCCATGGAGTGCGGATTACGTTCGCCAAAGGTAAACGTAACAAGGGTCCTTGCTCGCTGGCAGAAAGCCAGGCAGCCCACCAACCTTAATGAGCTCTTGCTTTGGAGAAAATCTAGACATATAATGAAAGTGAAAATCTGTATGTGTGTGTGTATATGTGTGTCTGGGGTCTCTCTGTGTGTGTGTGGCTGGGGTTTCTACTTACACAGCTACATAAAGAGCTATAGCTCCCACAGCTCAGGAGCAGAGGCGGCACTAGGTAATTTTCAATGGTAAGCAAACAGTATTTTGGCGCCCCCCCCCCAACCAATCATTGATATATATTTTCTGTTTGTCGTGGGAGTTCTGTGTGCCATATTTGGTTCAATTCCATCATTGGTGGAGTTCAGAATGCTCTTTGATTGTAGGTGAACTATACATCCCAGTAACTACACTTGCCGCACTTGCTCCCTTGCCTGGCCCGCTTTGGGTCCGGAGGACGTGCCTGAAGACCCCGGCGTGTGCACCAAAAGTCACCTCTTCTCCTGACTTTCTCCTCAGCCATTGGGACCGAGAGAGAGAGAGAGAGGTGGAGATGCCCACCTTTCCTGAAGGTAGGCGCAAAAACAAAGGAGGGAGCGGAGGTGGGAGATACCTCCAGCCGGAGGGGCTCTCTCTCTCTCTCTCTCTCTCTCTCTCTCTTGGTCCCAGTGGCTGAAGAGAAAGTCAGGAGAAGAGGTGGAGTGGAGCAGGAACGAGAGGGGCGAGGCGAGGCTCAAGGGCCCGGCCCCTTTGGGAAGAGGATCGCCCGGCAGCGAGGCAAGAAAGCCGAGGCTCCCCCCGGACTGCTAGGGCTGTTGTGAGCTGAGGGGCGCTCCTCAAGTGGCAGTCGAGGGGCATTTACAGAGGCGCCTCTGCACCCCTGGCAAAAAAAGTGTTCTGCGACCACTTACTTCGCGTAATGGATGAGCCGCCCCTGCTCAGGAGACACTAAAAGCCCTCCCTCCATAGAATCATAGAATCAAAGAGTTGGAAGAGACCTCCTGGGCCATCCAGTCCAACCCCATTCTGCCAAGAAGCAGGAATATTGCATTCAAATCACCCCTGACAGATGGCCATCCAGCCTCTGTTTAAAAGCTTCCAAAGAAGGAGGCTCCACCACACTCCGGGGCAGAGAGTTCCACTGCTGAACGGCTCTCACAGTCAGGAAGTTCTTCCTCATGTTCAGTGGAATCTCCTTTCTTGTAGTTTGAAGCCATTGTTCCTTGTTCGGGCTTGGCCCCATGTAAGCTGCTCCGAGTCCCCATTGGGGAGATGGTGGCGGGGTAGAAATAAAGATTATTATTCAGTTCTTGTGGGTTTTTTCGGGCTATATGGCAATGTTCTAGAGGCATTTCTCCTGACGTTTCGCCTGCATCTATGGCAAGCATCTTCAGAGGTGAGGTCTGCTGGAACTGGGAAAAAGGGGTTTATATATCTGTGGAATGACCAGGGTGAGACAAAGGCTTTTGTAAGTTGGGCTAGGTGTGAATCTTTCAACTGACCACCTTGATTAGCATACAATGGGCTGACTGTGCCTGGAGCAAACTCTTCTTGAAAGGTGATTAGATGTCCCTGCCTGTTTTTCTCTCTGCTGTTTTTGCTGTTGCAATTTTAGAATTTTTTAATACTGGTAGCCAGATTTTGTTCATTTTCATGGTTTCTTCCTTTCTGTTTAAATATCATGAAAATGAACAAAATCTGGCTACCAGTATTAAAAAATTCTAAAATTGCAACAGCAAAAACAGCAGAGAGAAAAACAGGCAGGGACATCTAATCACCTTTCAAGAGAGTTTGCTCCAGGCACAGTCAGCCCATTGTATGCTAATCAAGGTGGTCAGTTGAAAAGATTCACACCTAGCCCAACTTACAAAAGCCCTTGGTCTCACCCTGGTCATTCCACAGATATATAAACCCCTTTTTCCTAGTTCAAGCAGACCTCACTACCTCTGAGGATGCTTGCCATAGATGCAGGCGAAACGTCAGGAGAAATGCCTCTAGAACATGGCCATATAGCCCGAAAAAACCCACAAGAACTGAGTGATTCCAGCCATGAAAGCCTTCGACAATAAATAGAGTTGTAGTTGCTGGGATTTATAGTTCACCTACAATCAAAGAGCATACTGAACTCCACCACAATGGAATTGAACCAAACTTGGCACACAGAAATCCCATGACCAACAGATAATACTGGAAGGCTGGGATGTATAGTTCACCTACAATCAAAGAGCATTCTGAACTCCACCAATGATGGCATTGAACCAAATGTGGCACACAGGACTCCCATGACCAACAGAAAACACTAGGAGGGTTTGGTGGGCATTGACCTTGAGTTTGGGAGTTGTAGTTCTTCTACATCCAGAGAGCACTGTGGACTCAAACAATGATGGATCTGGACCAAACTTGGCACAAATACTCAATATGCCCAAATGTGAACACTGGTGGGGTATGGGGAAAATAGACTCTGACATTTGGGAGTTGTAGTTGCTGGGAATTATAGTTCACCTACAATCAAAGAGCATTCTGAACCCCACCAATGAGAGAATTGGGCCAGACTTCCCACATAGAACCCTAATTTCTTGAAGGGACTCACTGGTGTGAGCTTCCCTCCAGCCTCACACACTCTCCCTCGCCTCCACATGTGCACCATGCTTCCTTGCACCAAGCATGCCTGTTCTCCCCTCCTTGCTAGGAGTCTCAGAAACAGCCCTCCCCTTGGCTGAGAGGCCAGCCAATCACTGCAGAGGAGGGTTTTGGTGGGAGTTCTGAACAGTTCTGAAACTCTGCTGAATACACATACGCCCGACCACCGTCTCCCAAAGCAGTTGCTCTACTCCGAACTCAAGAACGGAAAACGGAATGTTGGTGGACAGGAAAAGAGATTTAAAGACGGGCTCAAAGCCAACCTTAAAAACTCTGGCATGGACACTGAGGACTGGGAAGCCCTGGCCCTTGAGCACTCCAGCTGGAGATCAGCTGTGACCAGCAGTGCTGCAGAATTTGAAGAGGCGCGAATGGAGGGTGAAAGGGAGAAGCGTGCCAAGAAGGCGCATCAAACCAACCCCGACCGAGACTGCCTTCCACCTGGAAACCAATGCCCTCACTATGGAAGAAGATGCAGAGCAAGAATAGGGCTCCACAGCCACATACGGACCCACAAGAATACTGGAAGACAATCCTCCTCGGAAAACAAGGGATCGCCTAAGTGAAGTGCATACACATACACACACACATATGCACTGGCATATCTTTCTCCCTAGCAGTTCAAATACATACTGAGGTACATCAGTCTAACAGTTGAGAAACCTAGTTGCCTTGCATGAATGCTTGTGAATGCAATTTTCCCCAAAAGGTTATGACTCCAACAGGTCATGCCTTTTACCTAAAGATCATGGCATCATTTTTCAAAAGTTTTTGATTTCGAACAAGGTCATGCCTTTCCAAAGATCATAACATCTCCAAAATATTACGGGGATATACATTTTCCAAAAGTGCCAGCACAGGTCACCCCTCTGCACAGATGCCCCTGTTTGCCCACCTATGCATTCTATGGGGTATTTCCTTAGCCTTACCCAGGCCACACTGTGTGGGGAGGCGCCTTTGGGCAGCAGCACTTTCACAATGTCCAGGTTGTTGTGATGCACAGCCACGTGGAGCGGCGTGAGGCCGTTCTGCAGAGAGAGAAACACCGGAGAAGGGAATCAGAGGGCCAAAGGGAAGTCTTATCCCTCCCTCAATGCATCCATGTAGAAACAAGCACAAACTTGTTTCTACTGCCAAGACCACCCATTTTCATATTTGTTTATTTACTTTGCTTCTATACCGCTGTTCTCAGCCCGAAGGCGACTCACAGCGGTTCACAAGACACAGGACACAGCAGAATTCAAACACCAACACAAAACAGTTAATAACCTAATCTAATACACAATTAATACACAATTACTATGAAACCATTCACTAGCGTCTCGTCACTAAAAACATGATCCAGATTCGTCATCCATTGTTCCATTCCTATGTCATTACCAGTCTTTGCACTAATTATTCAAACGCCTGCACAAATAACCAGGTCTTTACTTTTTTGCGGAAGACCATTAGAGATGGTGCTAATCTAATATCTGTGGGAAGGGCGTTCCACAGCCGGGGAGCCACCACCGAGAAGGCCCTGTCTCTCGTCCCCGCCAGCCGTGCTTGTGAAGCTGGCGGGATCGAGAGCAGGGCCTCCCCGGAAGATCTCAAAGTCCTGGTGGGTTCATAGGCCGAGATGCGGTCGGATAGGTAGCTTGGGCCGGAACCGTTTAGGGCTTTAAAGGCCAACGCCAGCACTTTGAATTGAGCCCGGTAGCAAGTCGGCAGCCAGTGGAGTTGGCGCAACAGGGGGGTTGTATGCTCCCTGCGTCCCGCTCCTGTTAGTATCATGGCTGCCGAGCATTGGACTACTTGAAGCTTCCAAGCTGTCTTCAAGGGCAACCCCACGTAGAGAGCGTTGCAGTAGTCTAAACAGGATGTAAACAGAGCGTGGACTACCGTGGCCAAGTCAGACTTCCCAAGTACGGGCGCAGCTGGCGCACAAGTTTTAGCTGTGCAAATGCTCCCCTGGTCACCGCCGAAACCTGGGGTTCCAGGCTCAGAGATGAGTCCAGGGTCACACCCAAGCTGCGAACCTGCGTCTTCAGGGGGAGTGCGGCCCCTCCACCAACGATGAAATGGAACCAAACTTGGCATACACAACTCCCATAGAATCATAGAATCAAAGAGTTGGAAGAGACCTCATGGGCCATCCAGTCCAACCCCATTCTGCCAAGAAGCAGGAATATTGCATTCAAATCACCCCTGACAGATGGCCATCCAGCCTCTGTTTAAAAGCTTCCAAAGAAGGATCCTCCACCACACTCCCTCCGGGGCAGAGAGTTCCACTGCTGAACGGCTCTCACAGTCAGGAAGTTCTTCCTCATGTTCAGATGGAATCTCCTCTCTTGTAGTTTGAAGCCATTGTTCCATTGCGTCCTAGTCTCCGAGGAAGCAGAAAACAAGCTTGCTCCCTCCTCCTTGTGGCTTCCTCTCACGTATTTATTAGGGCTGGGCGGTTTCGTTCGTTAATTTCGTAATTCGTTAATAATTCGTTATTTTTTGGGTAAACGAAGCGATAACAAACCATCCAGGAGCAACTAAAAAACGAAACGAATTTTTAAAGCTATTTCGTAATTGTTTTGTTATTGTTTCGTTATTATTTCCGTATGTGTCTAACCTCTTTCCTTCTCCAGGTTAAAACTATTATATTAATTATATTTATTATTATTATTATTATTATTATTATTAAGAATGGATGGCCATCTTTCAGTACTGCTTTCACTGTCCCTTACATTCACGAAGGCAGAAAGTGGTTTGTTATTATTATTATTATTATTATTATTATTATTATTTAGAAGAAGCATTGTCAAACCAGAATAGAGATCTCACCCACCCTCCTCTCTCTCTCCTTCCCCCCCCCCCTTTCCTTCTCCAGGTTAAAACTATTATATTAATTATATTTATTATTATTATTATTATTATTATTATTATTATTATTATTATTATTAAGAATGGATGGCCATCTTTCAGTACTGCTTTCACTGTCCCTTACATTCACGAAGGCAGAAAGTGGTTTGTTGTTGTTATTATTATTATTATTATTATTATTATTATTGAGAAGAAGCATTGTCAAACCAGAGTAGAGATCTCACCCACCCTCCTCTCTCTCTCCTTCCCCCCCCCCTTTCCTTCTCCAGGTTAAAACTATTATATTAATTATATTTATTATTATTATTATTATTATTATTATTATTATTATTAAGAATGGATGGCCATCTTTCAGTAGTGCTTTGACTGTGCCTTACAAGCACGAAGGCAGAAAGTGGTTTGTTATTATTATTATTATTATTATTATTATTATTATTATTATTGAGAAGCATTGTCAAACCAGAATAGAGATCTCACCCCTCCTCTCTCTCTCTTTCCCCCCTCTTTCCTTCTCCGAGGTTAAAACTAGGACTTTAAGATCGTCCGGGGAGGCCCTGCTCTCGGTCCCGCCGGCGTCGCAGGCACGGTTGGCGGGGACGAGAGACAGGGCCTTCTCAGTGGTGGCCCCTCGGCTATGGAATGCCCTACCAGTGGACATCAGGCAGGCCCCTTCGTTGCTGGTGTTTCGGAGGAGGGTTAAGACGTGGCTCTATGAGCAGGCATTCGGATAACTATGCAATGACAACTAACTCAGTAAGACGGCATTTGAACAAGGAACGAAAAAGGACTATGAGAACGGGATCTGATTCTAATTGAGGCGTTGATGACTGTGTGTGTTGTTTGTGTATGTACGTCTTATATATTGTCAGTGTTGCCATTTTTACTGTAAACCGCATTGAGTCGCCGTCGCAGGCTGATATATGCGGTATACAAATGGAGTAAATAAATAATAAATAATAAACTATTATTTAAAACTAATATTTTCATGTTGTGCAACCGCGTCCGCCATTTTAACGAATTGATTCGTTAATAATAATGAAATTTCGTAAATACCGAACTTTTAAAAAGGAAAATTTTGTAATTATTTTAAATATCGAAACAAAAAAAAAAACCCCCAAATACAAATCGATTTTAGAAACAAATTTTTGCCTGTTGTTACCCAGGCCTAGTATTTATACATGGCTATCATATCTCCTCTCATCCTTCTCTTCTTCAGGCTAAACATGCCCAGCTCTTTCAGCCGCTCTCCAGACCCTTGACCATTTTAGTCGCCCTCCTCTGGACAGCGACTACACAATTGAAGAGCTTGTCAACATCTCTCTTCCATTGTGGTGCCCAGACCACAACCTAAGTCTGAAACGACTTGAAAACACACATCAACAACAATCCTATCTAAGCAGGCCCTATTGAAATACTAATAAGTTTATATTTGTTAAAATTGTTCTTTTTAATTATTGTATTGTTTTTAAGTGGTTTTTGCACTACAAATAAGATATATGCAATTTGCTTTTTTTCAAATTATAATCCAGCCCTCCATTATAGGGCAGACTCTTTCCACTTAGAATCATAGAATCAAAAAGTTGGAAGAGACCTCCTGGGCCATCCAGTCCAACCCCATTCTGCCAAGAAGCGATCATTTCAAAGCGCTGCGCGTGCTGCTGCGCGGGGCGGGATAATAATGTGTTCGGGAGGAATGAAACAGGTCGATTGCATTCAAATCACCACTCTCTTGTCGAGCTAGTGGCCACTCAGACTCTGTTTTCAATCGCTTCCACCTTCTACAAGTAGCAGTATCCAGGTACCGCTGTCGCAAGACGGAACTAGTGCACGTGCTCGCGGGGGGGGCAGAGAGTTCCAATGCGTGCTGGTAATCGCTCTCAGTACAGAAATGTCACTGTGAGGAGGGGGAGGAAGGTGGCTTGCTCTCGCCTAGGTGTCGTGATCGTCGTGAGTCTGAGTCAGAGTAGAACAAGCGATCCGGTGCGTCTGAGATGTCGTTAGCGCTTTTCGTTGGTTGAGCCTAGAGGCCAGCGAACTTCTGTTTCGCGTGTTCCAATCCTCATCGCCGCGCTGGGAACCCATTCAAACCAATCTTGCGCCCCTACGTCGATAGGGGCTCGCAATCTTCTTCGGTGGTCTTATCCGCCTGGCAACGTTCTGTGTTGTGGTGTGCCATGCTGCGCTCGCATCGTGATTGTGTTGGCTTGTGCGGCGTCAAAATGAAAAAGAAGATTGAAACAGGATGGCGCTCCAGATATGGCCACAGCCAGTCAAAATCTCGTGCAATAGGACCAATGATGGAGGGAAGCGGCCCTGTGACCGCTGTAAAGATTAGTAGGTGTGTGTAAGCAGCAGGTGGATTGCTGTCAGAGAACCACTATAACTCACAGCACACGCCAGAAGAAAAGAAGCAAGAGCGTGAGAGCGGTGGATTCAGTTGGAGGAAGCTGTACGGCGTATGTGTAATAAGTCAGGGGGAAGTGTGTATATCATATCTGCGCTGTGCGGCTAGCGAAACGTGTGGTGTGGTACTATTAAAGGCGTGTCAAGCCAACCCCGACCGACCGCCTTCCACCTGGAAACCAATGCCCTCACTGTGGGAGAAGATGCGGGTCAAGAATAGGGCTCCACAGCCACCTACGAACCCACAAGGAAACGCATAATGGAAGACCACCTTACTCATCCAACGAGGGATCGCCTAAGTAAGTAAGTAAGTTATATATGGCTATCATATCTCCTCTCATCCTTCTCTTCTTCAGGCTAAACATGCCCAGCTCCTTAAGCCGCTCCTCATAGGGCTTGTTCTCCAGACCTTTATCATTTGAGTCACCCTCCTCTGGACACATTCCAGCTTATCAATATCTCTCTTCAGTTGTGGTGCCCAGAATTGGACACAATATTCCAGGTGTGGTCTAACAAAGCGGAATAGAGGGGTAGCATGACTTCCCTAGATCTAGACACTATGCTCCTATTGATGCAGGCCAAAATCCCATTGGCTTTTTTGCCGCCACATCACATTGTTGGCTCATGTTTAACTTGTTGTCCACGGTCCAAGATCTTTTTCCCACGTACTGCTCTCGAGCCAGGCCTCATCGTCCCCCATTCTGTCTCTTTGCATTTCGTTTTTTCTGCCTAAGTGGAGTATCTTGCATTTGTCCCTGTTGAACTTCATTTT